TCACGTTTCCACAACACAAAACGCACAAGGGATCGGAATGCAGTCGGGTTTCCTCGCGTTAATTCCATCTCATTGATTTATTATAACGATCAAGCAACACTGTTATTAAAGATTTTTTGCTCACTTACGTAAGCCATTGGATGAGCTCATGCATAATTATTTATAAAATGTTTTTCTTACTAAACACACGGCACTATCTTGCATGCATGTATGTAATTATTATCGTACTAGCTGATACCCTGGCTTCGCACGGCTGTAATTTATTTTGAGTATCATTTTTGTATCTAAACATTCCTAAAGAAATTGAGCGTCAAATTAACTATAAAGATTAGTTCAATGTCCTGCGCCAGATTATACACGAAGAAGTCATTTTAAAACTAATTGATTATTTAATCAGATATGTAAATGTTCTTGTTAATAATATTTACTTCACGATTTCTAATGTTTATGACTAGATCTTACTTCCTTTTTAGTATTGTGATAGATGAACACCAAACACGTAGTATTTCATAATTTATTCAACAATTTAGTGACTAAGTATAAGTTTGNGGTACTAGGGTATACACTAATCTAGTTTGTGAGTGTGATAATAGGGAATTGGGTTCTCTGGATCGCGGTCGTTCAACATAATCGAAGTTTTAGTTTTCAGTCTAGGTGAATCAGTCAACTCGTTGCGCGCTTAAGAGGCGCTGTAAAGCGCCTCTCGAGAGCGCTCTATAGTTGAACGATTCACTTAGANACTAGTGCATTGTTACTGTGCCTTGGGTGGGACTTATTGGCTGTCGCAAAAACATTAGTCTCAGAATGCGTCGCATAATCTGCTGAGAATGAATTAGAACAGAAGCGGATTATATTTGTCAGAAGTTTGGTGATTTTAGACAATAGTTTAAATTGTATTGGTAACTGTGGTCTTGATTTCATAACGTAAAATTACTTTTCCCAAGTAAGGGGTTTTTAAATGTCTGTAGATAGTTTTCATTTTACAAATCTGAGTTGAGTTGCACCATCTTATCTTTAACTTTAACAAACTTCAAAAATCTGACAAAATCCGTACAAAAAACACCGGTTACTGTTATTTTAATCGCCTCTGTGGTCTAGTGGTAAGACCACCTGCTTCAGACGCAGAGGTCCTGGGTTCGATTCCCAGTGGGGGCAGATTTTTCTGTTCGGTTTGGTTGGTGGAAGGACTTGTTCTCAGTCCGCCTGGATAGCTACCACCATCTTACATAAGTCTGTCGCCATAACAACAATGTTAACAGCATTGTTGTGTTCCGGCAGTTAGAGGCAAGATAGCCAGTTCCTCCGTGGTTGAGGATTCCGGGTGAAGCTCGCTTCCACCTTCGGCCTGATCATCACTTACCATCAGGTGAGATACAGGTCAAGAGCTTCCTCGTTGTGGATAAAAAAAATAGTTGCAGTTAAAATGAGGTGGTGCAACTCAGCCTTAGTAACTAAAAATATTTCATTTTTCCTAAATGAGACAATATTTTTATTGGACCCTGGCATGTAACAATGAAATCATACACCACGCTATTACTTTAGGTATTTCAAGAAATCAATATTACCTCTCCACAGATTCTGGTCTTTGTGGAAATTCTTGGGCCTTTGTCCAGCAGTGGACGTCTTTCGGCTGAAACGAACGAACGAATATAACCTCTACAACTAATATTACTTTGCAAATCAAATATCGTGTTTATCTTCGTATAAACATAAGCCAGGGTGTTGAAATGCGTTATTAATGCAACGTCCATTCCCACAACACCACTCGGATTACTCGGCGCAAAAACTGTCGACGTGTGAAATACGACCGAGTCGCATGTGTGTCACTCATTATCTAGTACTTTATTACAGAGAGGAGTAGCAGAGAGTTTGGAAGATATATCACGCTTCAGAGGCACGTCAAGCTTACGTTGATTTACTGGTAGTCACTTATAATCATGATTAAATAAATAAATAAATAAATTATTAGGTATTATTGTGTATACCTGTAATTGAGGTCATATACGTATCATGTGTTAAACCATGTTAAAATGTATGAACTGTATTATGTATGTGACTTTGTTGGTGTACCTAATAAATAAATAAATAAATAAATAAATAAATAAATAAATAAATAAATAAATAAATAAATAAATAAATAAATAAATAAATAAATAAATAAATAAATAAATAAATAAATTAGGGCCAGTTACGAAATAACACTGAAATCGCGAATTACACTCAAGCACAGATCTTCCTTACTCGACTTTGAGTATTAGACCAATCAAAGGGTTAATAACTTACTACAATGATTAATAACTAAATCCGAGACTTCTTGCAGATTCAGGCTGAGTTGCACCATCTTACTTTAACTTTGACAAAGTTTACTTTAACTCCATACAAAAAGCACCGGTTATTGTTAATGTTACGGTTAAAATAAGGTGGTGCATCTCAGCCTTATTGTTTATTTCTAGAATTTTTACCTAAACAAGACTTAAACACCCTGTATGAAGTTCCCAAAGGAAACAAGAGTCTTTCTTTTGTTTTTCCATAATCTACTATCAAATTCGATTGCTCCTCAATACTTAGCATTATCATTTCAATTCAAAATCACGCAATTGACTACTGATACTTGTGCTTTAACGAACATTAACGACAACTATTTAATATTAATGATAACATAATAGGCAATAATGTTACTATTATAGATATTACAGACTTGTATATTATAAAATAAATGTGCGCTTAATTAAATATAATGTTTTACGGAAAACTATTAAATATTTATTAAACATTATATTAACATTACGGAAATATAAATTTTCACAACATATAACGAATAAAACATCCAGATACATAATAAATATACATAAATGAAAATTGTACAATAATTCCTTCAATAGTCACTGAAATAAGCTTCAAAAGTCAAAGCTCTTTTTGATATAATTTTCGTCCACTCAAAAGAGTTCAACGCGTCAGAGGATCAACGAAATAGGCTACTAAAGTATTTTTTTTTATAGATGAATGATACGATGGTTTCATATTAAAATGACCCATAATTATGTAGTTTATTCATGTACCTATTTATTTTGTAATTTATTAATGCTGTACAGATTAATGTGAAGTTAATAAAAATCTCTAATTTTAAGGTAGGTCTAGGTATAAGTTTAGATTGGCAAGTCATCGTTCCATCTTCTGAAGGCTTTTATAAATAATAAATGCAACTTCAAATCAAATGTAATGATTTCACTTTTCCACAACATAAAACGGACAAGGGATCGGAATGCAGTCGGGTTTCCTCGCGTTAATTCCATCTCATTGATTTATTATAACGATCAAGCAACACTGTTATTAAAGATTTTTTGCTCACTTACGTAAGCCGTTGGATGAGCTCATGCATAATTATTTATAAAATGTTTTTCTTACTAAACACACGGCACTATCTTGCATGCATGTATGTAATTATTATCGTACTAGCTGATACCCCGGCTTCGCACGGCTGTAGGTAATTTATTTTGTGTATCATTTTTGTATCTAAACATTCCTAAAGAAATTGAGCGTCAAATTAACTATAAAGATTAGTTCAATGTCCTGCGCCAGATTATATACAAAGAAGTCATTTTAAAACTAATTGATTATTTAATCAGATATGTAAATGTTCTTGTTAATAATATTTACTTCACGATGTCTAATGTTTATGACTAGATCTTACTTCCTTTTTAGTATTGTGATAGATGAACAGCAAACACGTAGTATTTCATAATTAATTCAACAATTTAGTGACTATAAGTTTGNCAAAGTCGATGATCCTTAACAAAGTTCTAAGGTTTTTTGACTTAACCTCTATTTATGTAATCGTTATAAATATAAATAGGTAGAGTCAGCCTCTACCAAGGGGCGATACGGCAACGATTAATAGCAAACCTATAAAAGTAGTCTCGGGTAGCTCAACATTTCTAACTGGTCCCAGACTGGTTCCTACAGATGTAACCGCAAGCCATCGCAGCCTCCGCCACCAATACCAGAATAACAGCATTCATAGATTACAACTTGCTGTGCCCTCTTTGCTAACGCAACGACAGATTTGCCCTGTTACATAGGTGTTTTATAAGCTTTAAATTACTGTATTTTTATTGAAAAACAGCCTGACAAAGGTGACTGAGTTTCTTCCGCCACTTCTTCTCAGCACCAGCCCATATTTGTCCCGAAGTGGTAGGGCAAGCTATATTTGGGACGTGTACCTATAAGTGCCCAAAGAGGGACTATGTACTGAATAAACTATTAGAATTTGAATTTTAAGATGTTACTAGCCATTATCAGCACTAGGATTGGTATCCTGGATACAGGTTAAAAACTTGAAATTAGGTACTAACAAAGTTTAAAACATTCTGAACATGGTGATTCACTACACTAATAAACTTAATATCGTTACAATTATCGGAAAACTATTCATGTGGTTTTTTCAGAAGCTATCGAAGCTATTTACGTAATGAAAAAATCAATCAACATCAAGGGCGAAAAGCAATTATGGAACCGAGTGTCGGCAAACCATTAACTGAAGTTGCATAACGAGGAAAAAAGATCCACCGACCGCCAAAAGATCCAATTTAATTTCGCGCATACAAGAAACGGACATTGCGAATGCATTGAATCAGCCCGATCGCTAAAACTCGAGTGTATGCCAACTTGCGGGTATACATTACGCCCAGTTTTTGCCCCTTTCTTGTTAAGAGAGAGCAAAGGCCAGCGTGAATGAAAGTCGCAATCGCAACTACGAAGTTGGTCATCGACATTATTTTTCCGAGTTGTCTCTGTGCGTCGTTACCCGCTACATTGTGTAACCGGCTGCATCTCCACGAAGCGATAATAATACGATAATTGTGTTGTGCCGATTGCTCCACGGCAACTTTGTCACGTAAGGAGCATCGGCACGGATAAAACAACTGTATAAACAAGTAAGATTCATTCACTGCGCGGGCGCAGCATAATATCATGCAGTCTTAATTTGTATACAAACTCACCTCAGGTGGAGCAGCGAACTTTAAATTGGCGAGAGATCCGTGGGAGCGACTTCTGTGTTCTTGTCTGATGCTGTACGAGAAGGCCCGCTCGTTCAAGTGGCCCTTCTTCCTGTAGATTCCGCCGGAGTCCTCCACCGCTTCGAGCCCGTTCATGCTTTGAGCGGCCTTCAGGGCCGGCGGGGGCGGGGGCTTCGAGCGTCGAGGGTCCACGGTCGCATACTGGAGACGGCCTCTACCTGGAGGGACTCCAGGATAAGGGCCGGGTGCTAGCGCGGCGGGTACCCGGCCCCGGTGAGCCAGGGTCGCCGGGCGCGCGTGCGGCAGAGTGGCGGCGGGGTGCGCCACCAGCATTATAGGGTGGCCCGCCGCCCACGCCGGCGGCGCGCGCCCCAGTGACCTGCCGTTCATGACCGGCGCCGGCCCCGGCATCGTCGCGTACAACTCGTCCGCCGAGGCGGATGATTTCTTTTTCGTTTTCTTCGCTGTGGCCGTCTTCTTTTTGGGCTCCTCCGGCGGCGGAGGAGGCGGCGGCACGGACGCCGGCCGCGTGATCTGCCGAGGCCGCGGCGCCCGCGTCGGGTGAGGAATGTCGTCGCTCACGTCGTCGCGCTCGATCTCGCCGACCCACACTTTGTGGTTCTCGTCGCCGTCGAACGCTTCGAGTTCCTCATCCGGTTCCGGCGGCAGCTGCGAAGGGGTCCTCTCGGCCTCCAAACGTTTCGCGTAGGAGCTGTCCGCGTAAGCGTGGAAACAACACCGAACTAGCGCATTGGCGGCGGCCTCCCGGCGGCATATGAAGGCGTGACATTCCAAGACCTTTATGCCTTGCGTGCGGCGCAGGACCGCGGCGAATAAAGGAGGCCGCCGCGGGGCGGGCGCCCGGGCGAAGGGCGAGTCCAAGGGTAAGAACCTCGGCGCGCCCTCGACGGTCACCCGCCGCACGGCCGCGCAGTAGTGCAGGCTCGATATGGGAAAAAACCTGGCCACTCGCGAGCCGCTCTCGTCGACGTTCTCCAACAAGATGCCGTTGGACCAGACCGACAGCCACGAGTCGATGCCGCCGCTGGTCGCTCCCTTTTCCGGGTACAACTCGCGCAATGGTTCCTGGATGCCCTGGAGGCCGTCCTTGCTCTGCTGCGGCACCGCGGAGCCGAGGTACAGCACGCGACACCTACAGATGGGAGTCGACTCCATTTCGTCACTGCACGATCACAACATGTCACTGAATCACTTGAAAACACTGCAACTGTGCTCGCCGTGCGTACGTGCGCCAGCCGCGAGACGGGCGCGGGTCTGAGTGAGCGGAATTCAAGATGGCCGCCGCGGCGCGGGGGCGGGGTGCGGCCGGTCGCTATACCTGCGCTTACGCACCTGTGAAGACGCCTCCGCAGGAGTCCGATAGCAATAGTGCCGATGAACCGGCATTGTGTCAAACGAATTGTCGCGAATTCGGCCGCATTTCACTCGGCACCGCGTCACAATCGACGTGACGGAATGCCTCACTTTTGTCTTGCTGCAGTGAAATCTGAAGGTCGGCCGATGGGAGATAATTGTTTTCTTCGGCCTCGCTGCATATTCGATGGGGCACACTAGGTCGCCCGACCGACTGTTTGCACTACCACTTCGAAAGTTGACTTGACCGGTTTTTAATTAAACAAGCCCAAAATCGTTTGACGACAGTCTTAATTAAAAGTATTTAATACAAATTTAGGACTGCAGCGGAATGTTCAGATTTCATTTCGATAATTTAGTCCGAAGCGGAAAATGTTTACCAAAGCCAGATTAATCAGCACAAACTAAATAACCTGTTTTAGTTCAATGTAATATCAATATAAAAATTAATATAATACTATCGTTTTGTTTTCCAGTAACATGCTAAACAAAATTCACACACATTAGATGATCCCAACTAATATTATAAATGCGAAAGTAACTCTGTCTGTCTGTCTGTCTGTCTGTCTGTTACGCTTTCCCGCTTAAACCTCGCAACCGATTTTGATGAAATTTGGCATAGAGATAGTTTGAGTCCCAGGAAAGAACATAGAATAGTTTTTATCCCGGTTTTTGAAACAGGGACGCGCGCGATAAAGTTTTTCTGTGACAGACAAAATTCCACGCGGGCGAAGCCGCGGGCGGAAAGCTAGTGGGATGATAAAAAAACAAATGTATGCAACACAGATTTTTATTACACAAAATTGTATTTACAATAAAGTACCTAAATGTAATGTTTTATATCGAATATACGTCTTACTATGTAACTTCAGTGATCAAATCATTTAAAACTGCACTTCTGTTAACATTGTTACAAATCCATTGGCATACTTTAAACTCATTTCCCAGGTTCAACAGGAATTAAAAAGTTTATTTTCTATGATATTTCTGTTCTTAGTTCACATGTTTTGGTTATTGAAGAATGATCGAAGATTTTATAAAACATTTTGCAGTATGAGTTGTCATTTGCCTCGAACTAAAATTACCAAAGTTCATAATTAGGACATTATACAAAGTGGTTTACATCATTCTTATTGCCTTTAAGTCTTAACCGTCAGCAAAATCACACTATTTTTAAAATACAATCCTTAGGGTCACTTCTAAAAGTCCCTGATAATGTTTCAGATAGTTATTTAACACCTTTCTAAGTTACTCATGCTGTTTCGTCTACATCTCCCTCCGAGATCTGTGAAACCAAAAGTTGTAGTTTATCTGACAGATAAGTTTCTAATTGGCTATCTGGGACTTTATCAAATTCAAATTCAAAATTTCTTTATTTTCTTATAAGACACATTTACAGGGGTTGGGTGTCTCCTTTTAAGTTTAGAAAACCTGTATTAGGAGACGCCCGCTCTTTCGATCAGTTTTATATCAGCAAGTGGTGCAGGCCTTTAATATTTTATCCGTCCAGTTAGTGTTAGAACTTGGGTGTCTTGAATCCTGGTTCGTCGCTCGTCTGCGACTGAGACGCCGGCGCCTTACGTTTTTGGATAATATTTTGAATCTGTAAAAAATAAATGAGAAAAACTTCATTGATAGAGCAATGTATATAATGGACCATTAATTAGAAATTAATATGTGCATTGTTGATTGGCATTGATTTTATTTTTCTAAAGAAAGTAAATTGTCGTTTCGTGTTTTATTTCATTTTATTTTAGAACTAGCTTTTGCCCGCGGCTTCACCCGCGTGAAACTTAGTTTGTTACAGATCGTCATAAATTATAGCCTATATGTTATTCTGGGTTATAAAAAATAATACTGTAAAGTTTCATCAAAATAACAGATTTTGATGAAACTTTACAGTATCAGTACTTTTTGCGTGAAATAGTAACAAACATCCAGACTTCCAGATACCCAAACTTTCTCATCTATATATATAAAAGAAAGTCGTGTTAGTTACTTCGCTTATAACTCAAGAACGGCTGAACCGATTTAGCTAAAAATTGTCAGGGAGGTAGTTTAGAGCCAGGAGAAGGACATAGGATACTTTTTATCCCGTTCGAAATTTAAAAAAAGTCTGCTTATTTATTGCCATTAAGGCGGAACAAAGTTCGCTGGGTCAGCTAGTTTATAATATTAGTAAGACTAGCGGCCGCCCGCGACTTTGTACCCGTGGATCCCGTTTTACCCCCTTAGTCCTTTCTTAATCCTTTCTTAGCGGATGCCTACGTCATAACATCTACCTCACATCTACACTACCAGTCATTCAGTCAATCAGTCACCTTTGAGATATTTAGATTATAGAAGATGGCCCCACCAATGTTTGGTCGAGGGAAACGCGGGGTGCGGGGAGTTTGATCCGAGCAATCCGAGCGTCATTATTGTAGCGTTCGAGTGCACTCATGGATAATTTAGCGTGTACCTATAACACTCAAACATTAGCGGAAGAATGGTGGGGCGCGTCTTCGTGGATGAAACGATCTATAAAGGATTAAAAGTTTGACCAACCTGTTGCCACTCTCTGTCGAGTTCTGCCTTCTCGCTCTTATCCTTGGTCTTCCTTGTCTTGCGGCCATCTTGGGTCTTGACGCCATATTGGAACGCTGCTTTCGGAAGCGCTTCTTTGCTGCTCATGTATGCGGAGTACTCCTCTTGGGTGTCGAAGTCCCAACGACCTAGGTAATACGGATGAAATTAGCACAAAGCTTTTAATGAAGTGGGAAACTGGGAATATACTTTCCACCAAATTAGAAGCTAACCTAACGCGACTTCGTGCGCGTGGACCCCGTTTCCCCCTTTAGGGGAGGAGTTTCGTAAAAACCTGCCAAATTAGAAGTTTGTAGGTAGATTCTAAGATTTCGCGATTAATCAGTGAGTGGTATTAACAGATTACCTAATCTAAAGGTTTTAAAACAAAGTTTTTTATTTTCCTTGCTTTTGGGTTTGAACTTTTGAAGCTATGACTAAAGTGACAGCAAATTATACTCTGCTAAAGATTTATGGAAATGATGTTTCAACTCAATTCGGACCTATGACTAAATACAAGGATTTTTACTTTTCAATAGCTGAGAACTGCTTTCTGAGTTTTAGGGGCCTGCTGCTAAATAAAGTGCCTTATTGGAAAAAAAATATCTTAAAAAAGTTTATGAGTTACACATGAAAAATTGCCGGCGTCCATCTTGGTGTAATCCACTTCATCATCCGAGTCGTCGATCGCGTCGTCCATCTCACGTAGTCCAGGATAGCACTCTGCGTAGCCTTCAGGCTCCGCAGCCAGCCGGGACAGAAGAAAAAAGCGCTACAAAAATACCAATAGGCGAAAAAAGGCTCCGAACTTACCAATAGGTCCTTTCTTGTTGCCGGCGTCCATCTTGGTGTAATCCACTTCGTCATCAGAGTCATCAATCGCGTCGTCCATCTCTCGTAGTCCAGGGTAGCACTCTGCGTAGCCTTCGGGCTCCGCCGCCAATCGCGACAGAAGCGCCGCCGACCGCTTGTCACGTTCCTCCGTGGACGGCAGCGGACGACGCGGCATCGGGCCTGGACCTTAAAAAAATAGTACATTGTTGAATAAATTGTTGATAAGAAAGAAGCCTGAGGGCATAGGCTAGCTTCGACACCACTATATGAATCCATGTGTGCCAATGAGGGCTATCGTTTTTATACTTAACAGTTGGCACCCCTGGCGATTGACAGGACCTTACTCTACAGTGGCGCCATCTTGATGAGTGCAAATGCGATAGTCCTCCTACCACTTCAGCGCTCACAAGTTGGCTCCACTGTCTTCGCGACTAGCAAGTGACTACCTTACTCTACAGTGGCGCCAACTGGTGAGCGCTAAAACGATAGCCCTCATTTTGAACCGTGCGTAACGGATAGAAATAATTATGAAAAAAATCTTCCCTCTACGGCGTCTATTGGCTTGTCGAAATACCCGGTGTGCAGGCGCTCGTTGGCCAAGTACTCGCCGATCTCTTCGTTAATCGTCGGTCCGCCCCTTTAGTACAGTCAGCGTCAAATAGTTCGCAACACCCAAAGAGGCAAAAGTTGACAACACAACCTTATTCCAAACTTAACAAAGACGTGTCACGAACTATTTGACGCTGCTGTACTACATGAAGGATGCCCACGCCTACCTTCTTCCTTCTCGACGTCCATGGGCTTGTCGAAGTAGCCGGCGCGCGGGCGCTCGTCGCGGCGCTCGGCGCGGCGCTCGCCCGCCACGTACTCGCCGATCTCGCCGTATATAGTCGTCGGGCCGCCGCTTGTACTACAGGAAGGACACGCTACCTTCCTCCTTCTCGGCGTCCATGAGCTTGTCGAAGTAGCCGGCGCGCGGGCGCTCGCCGATCTCGCCGTATATGGGTCGTCGGGCCGCCCTTGTACTACAGGAAGGACACTACCTTCCTCCTTCTCGGCGTCCATGGGCTTGTCGAAGTAGCCGGTGCGCGGGCGCTCGTCGCGGCGCTCGGCGCGGCGCTCGCCCGCCACGTACTCGCCGATCTCGCCGTATATGGGTCGTCGGGACGCCCTTGTACTACAGGAAGGACACGCTACCTTCCTCCTTCTCGGCGTCCATGGGCTTGTCGAAGTAGCCGGCGCGCGGGCGCTCGTCGCGGCGCTCGGCGCGGCGCTCGCCCGCCACGTACTCGCTATCCCGCTGTATATGAGTCGTCGGGACGCCCTTGTACTACAGGAAGGACACGCTACCTTCCTCCTTCTCGGCGTCCATGGGCTTGTCGAAGTATCCGGCGCGCGGGCGCTCGTCGCGGCGCTCAGCGCGGCGCTCGCCCGCCACGTACTCGCCGATCTCGCCGTATATGAGTCGTCGGGCCGCCCTTGTACTACAGGAAGGACACGCTACCTTCCTCCTTCTCGGCGTCCATGGGCTTGTCGAAGTAGCCGGCGCGCGGGCGCTCGTCGCGGCGCTCGGCGCGGCGCTCGCCCGCCACGTACTCGCCGATCTCGCCGTATATGGAGTCGTCGGGACGCCCCTTTTCTGCCGCCTTGTCCTACACAATATAAATAATTCTTAGTTTAAGCCAAAGGCCCTGTTTCCACCAAGGCGGAGCGGGGAGATGTGTTTTGAATAACCAATCAGACTTCATTATTTCCACATTCTATAGAAAATGAACGATGAGTCCAGCCGATACGTGATCTCTCGTCTCCGCCCCGTTCCGTCTTGGTGGACACCGNCAATAATACTGTTAAAGTTTCATCAAAATCTGTTCAGTAGTTTTTGCGTGAAATAGTAACAAACACCCAGACATCCAGATACCCAAACTTTCTCATTTATAATATTAGTAAGACTAGCGGCCGCCCGCGACTTTGTACCCGTGGATCCCGTTTTACCCCCTTAGGAGTGGGGTTTCGTAAAATCCTTTCTTAGCGGATGCCTACGTCATAACATCTACCTCACATCTACACAACCAGTCATTCAGTCAGTCAGTCACCTTTGAGATATTTAGATTTATAGAAGATGCGCCCCACCAATATTTGTGGGTGCGGGGAGTTTGATCCTGGCAATCCGAGCATCATTTTGTAGTGTGGGTGCACACTCATGGATAATTTAGCGTGTACCTATAACACTCAAACATTAGCGGAAGAATAATGGGCCGCGTCTTCGTGGATGAAACGATCTATTAAGGGTTAAAAGTTTGACCAACCTGTTGCCACTCTCTGTCGAGTTCTGCCTTCTCGCTCTTATCCTTGGTCTTCCTTGTCTTGCGGCCATCTTGGGTCTTGACGCCATATTGGAACGCAGCTTTTGGAAGCGCTTCTTTGCTGCTCATGTATGCGGAGTACTCCTCTTGGGTGTCGAAGTCCCAACGACCTAGGTAATACGGATGAAATTAGCACAAAGCTTTTAATGAAGTGGGAAACTGGGAATATACTTTCCACCAAATTAGAAGCTAACCTAACGCGACTTCGTGCGCGTGGACCCCGTTTTCCCCTTTAGGGGAGGAGTTTCGTAAAAACCTGCCAAATTAGAAGTTTGTAGGTAGATTTTAAGATTTCGTGATTAATCAATGAGTGTTATTAACAGATTACCGGTTTTAAAACAAAGTTTTTGGGTTAAGAAGCTACGACTGAAGTAGTCAAATTATACTCTGCCAAAGATTTAGGGACAATTCAGACCTATGACTAAATAAAAGGGTTTTTACTTTTCAATAGCTGAGAACTGCTTACTGAGTTTTTAGGGGTCTGCTGCTAAATAAAGTGCCTTATTGGGAAAAAAATATCTTAAAAAAGTTTATGAGTTACACATGAAATAGTTCACTCAGTTATGCATCTAACATACCAATAGGTCCTTTCTTGTTGCCGGCATCCATCTTGGTGTAATCCACTTCATCATCAGAGTCGTCAATCGCGTCGTCCATCTCACGTAGTCCAGGGTAGCACTCTGCGTAGCCTTCGGGCTCGGCCGCCAATCGGGACAGAAGCGCCGCCGACCGCTTGTCACGTTCCTCCGTGGACGGCAGCGGACGACGCGGCATCGGGCCTGGACCTTAAAAAAATAGTACATTGTTGAATAAATATAATGTCGATAAGATAGAAGCCTGGTACATAGATTAATTGACACCAGTCAAGTAACATACTTTTTATAAGCTACCAAAAGTCACGACTATTTCGCACCTAAAAAATCATAATTCTATGAAGCGTTATTTTAAAGAAGTCATGGTTTATGAAATTTTGGGTTTATGCTGTCAACTACTCAATTGCCATGGGCGCAATTCTTTACTGTTTGTCCCTATAATGCGTCTCTCTCGCCGCATAAGGAGGCGTCGGGCCGCCCCTTGTACTACAGAAAGGACACGCCTACCTTCCTCCTTCTCGGCGTCCATGGGCTTGTCGAAGTAGCCGGCGCGCGGGCGCTCGTCGCGGCGCTCGGCGCGGCGCTCGCCCGCCACGTACTCGCCGATCTCGCCGTATATGGAGTCGTCGGGACGCCCCTTTTCTGCCGCCTTATCCTGCACAATCAATCAATAAAGCACACAACTTAAATCATTCGTAGTTTAAGCCTAAGGCCCGGTTTCCACCAAGGCGGAGCGGGGAGATGTGTTTTGAATAACCAATCAGACTTCATTATTTCCACATTCTATAGAAAATGAAAGATGAGTCCAGCCGATACGTGATCTCTCGTCTCCGCCCCGTTCCGTCTTGGTGGACACCGGGCCAGGCGGGTAATTTTTTTTTAAAGGTCCCGTTAACCCCTCGTACTAAGCTGAGTATAATTGTACAGTCAGCGTCAAATAGTTCGGGACACCCAAAGTAGCAAAAAAGTTAACAACACGTCTTTGACAATTGGAATAAGGTTGTGTTATCAACTTTTTGGTCACTTTGGGTGTCACGAACTATTTGACGCTGACTGTACGAGTGAGTTCACCCAACTCTAGTCCAGCGCGGCGGGGTTCGAACCAGAGCGTTCCTCGGATCTCGAGTCGGCCAGTCCTTACAGCTTAACCGATCAGCTATTGTGACACGTATTATTAGTGTGATAAATAAGAAGTTTTCTAAACTGACCAGTCGAGCTAGGTCGTGCGGCGTGATAAAATCAAATCGATAATTTTAGACGTAATAAAAGAGCAACCGCCATTAGTAGCTATCATCGCTAGAACCTAAAAAAGAAGATAGAGTGTAAGAGCCCTACCTTAGCTCTTTTAAGCCGACGGTGGCGTCCATGCCTCAAGTACGCGAATATCTGCGCCAGTTTGTCCAAAACTACGTCGTTGGCGCTCGAAGCAGAACTACGCTCGTCTGGTTCAGGCACGTCTGCTTTGCTGCGAGTGAGCGTAGTGGGTATACGGCAATAAAACGTACCTAAATCGGTCCTAAGCCAATTCCGTTTGAACCTAATAGTGGCTAATCAATGAACCACGCTTCTAGTGGCTATCCTCGCTTTAACCTAAAACGAAGGTAAAAAATAATTCAGAAGTCAGTCTAACCTTAGCTCTCTTAAGTCGGCGATGTCGTCCATGCCTCAAGTACGCGAATATCTGCGCCAGTTTGTCCAAAACTACGTCGTTGGCGCTCGAAGCGGAACTACGCTCGTCTGGTTCAGGCACGTCTGCTTTGCTTCGAGTGAGCGTGGTGGGTATATCGCTGTCGATAGCGCCTTCCTCTTCTAACTCAACCACGTACGCCATTCGGCCCGGCGCGAATAACTCGTTACGGGTCACCTTTTTATTCCTGTTAATAAATAATATGTTCTTTGGTTTTTTACACTGTTTCATGTCAACGACTAAATAACTAACTTTAAACAATAAATAAATTTGTAATTAAATTAATACATCTTCCACTCAATACAATACATAAATCAACAATTTAATTTGATCAATAAATATTAACACAACATTCTTACTTTTGTTCCAGCAACATGTTGAAAATGTTTTTGCCCATTTGAGTTTTGAACTGCATTTCTTCCTCTTGCTGGAAAATAACATTCATAATTTAAAAAAATGTTTTACACAATAATATACTTAACAAAATGGGTTTGACGCAGACCATCCCAAACCAAAGCTTACAATTTCTGAAACAATAGTTTACCTTGTAAGTTGAAAATGTTAACACATCCTTTATCCGATTTTGCAGATGGAACAAAATGAACGACCATCTTTGAATTCTTGACGAAATGCGAATGGAAAGGTCTGCATCAAACCCAAAAAAATTGGGTAGGACATTAATATAAACCACATTAGTAGACATTATGATTTGACATTGGGGGAGGCCTATGTTCAGCAGTGGGCGTCTTATGGCTGAAATGATAATGATGATGATGGTGACAGTTATGATTATTTATCTTTATGAAAAGATGCAATAATGCCAACTATTCAGACACTTTGTCGGCCGTTTGGTGTAGTGGTTCGATTCTCGCACAGTACAAACATATTTTTGTGTGCATGAACACATTTGTTTGTATTGGACTGGGTGTTTTCTACGTATAATATGTATGTATTTACAAAAAAAAGTATTTAAGTATGTTTATATCCGTTGTCTAGTACCCATAGTACAAGCTTTGCTTAGTTTGGGACTAGAAGCGCAGTGTAAAATGTCCAAGGTTATTTATTTATTATTATTTATTTATTTACTTACCACAACTACGGGTTCCTTCTCCTTGGCGGGTTCGACGACGGGCGCGGGCGCCGGCGCCTCGACCAATCTCTCCATCTCTGCCTCTTGCTCTTGCTCACGCGTCGTAATTTCTGATCTGACCTGTTTGATGGCACATAATAAAAAAAGTATTATATTTTGTTTTATTTATTTATTAGGTACACCAAAGTCACATACATAATACATTTTAACATGGTTTAATACATGATATGTACATATATGACCTCAATTACAGGTATACACAGCATTTCTTTTTGCAATGTTTTAAAAATAAGAGGTTCCTTAACTATTAAAATACGTGTATTTATTGTTTTTGCCTTTGAACCTAAATGGACAGGAAGTGGCATCATACAATAGGGTATTTGACACCACCAATCAATTGACGTACTTTTTAAAACTGTCAAAACGACACTCTCCCATAGATTTTGTACGGCAATACTAGCATGTGACGTCACAATTTTATCAACTCAATGAAACTACTTTTTTCAATTATAATGTAACGAAAAATCGTAATTTACAGGTAATTAAAAATTAATTAAGTTTTTAAGACCAGAAAGAAGTGTCTTTTTAAAAAAGTTGTGCTTTAGAATTATTGGGAAATGGTGTCAAATACCCAATTCAATTTATGTAAATACTATGGCCCTTGCTAATAACAGTTACACAAATGTTGAACAGTTGTTTAAAATGACATTTCCATACTAAAGACTTTTATTAGTAAGGGGGTATATTACATAGTTAGCAAGCATACTATGTTGCTAATAATAACACAATAAAAAATGATATGTTATTTAAAAAATATTATTCATATTCCAACATAGCCAAACAGTCTGGTGATGTTAAAGCTGATCTACCATACTGTTGTACTTGCTAATGAAGAACCAAGGGAGGTTTTATGCTAGGTTTTTTTTAAATCAAATACCACTATCTTACCTTTTGCAGCAAGGCATAATCTAGACCTTTCACCAAGTGAGTATGCTCCATGTCACCACCAAGGTACTTTGATTCCTAAAATAGAAAATAATCATATTATATTTATTACAGGTATACAGCAAATAGCAGAGATATTTCATGGTGAGGAAATGAGGAATAAAATTTAAGATTTCATCTACCTGCCATTATAAAGTTTTGAAAAAATTCCTTACATTGACCACATGATTTAGTTGTCACAAATAGACTTCATTCCAATTTAATAAAGTCCGGTCGTCTAGCACATAGAATTTCGTCCAGTGACCCCAAGCTACCCATCCTTATCGCTCGCGCTTAATTATATGTATTGCTGTCGTGCTCGCACACTCTCTGCGGTCGCCCGTCGTACAGGTACTTGCTCGGCGACCGGACTTTAGAATTAACTTAATTAAGTGTTCAGGTATAAAAACAATATTTTTCATATACTCTCCCACTCTCTCACATAGAAAAGAAGGTAACAAACCTGAATAAGCTGTCTTCTTCTTTCTTTAGCATCCATTCCGGACTTCAAATCAGGTGCCACAGCTCTGAAAGATTAAATATAAAATAGATAAATTATACTAAAATTAAATTTCTGTGATGGTCTAACAACAATGATCTTATCCTACTTTCTGTTTTATAATTATAAATGTGATTTTCTAAGGAAGCATGAATGTATTGTTTATCACTCTTACACCCAAAAACTACTGAACAGATTTTGATGAAACTTTACAGTATTATTGTTAATTTATCAGAATAAAATCTATGACAAACTGAATCTTTCACAGACAAATAGCAAAAACTAGTTATCAATAAGTAGTTGTTTTTGTTTTTTTTACCTGTAAGCACTACTAGTGTTGCTTGTAGGGTCCGTGGGACCAATATCATTAAGCCCATCCCGCCTCTCTCGCGCCCTGTCGCGGTATTTTTCAGCCAATTCAGCTAGTTTATTGTCTTCTTGTTTCTTGAGAGCTGCATAGTAGGACTTTTTCTTGCGACGCAGTTCACTTTTGTTTTCTGCTGGAGGGGGCATAGCCCTGAAATATAAAGTTAAATTTACTATCAATGTAACAAGGAATGTTTGGTTATAGACGCTAAAGTTAGTAAAACAGATATCAATGGCAGGAATTCCAAACTAGCCTATTGTAAAATGCAACCAGTTTTGTATGAAACTCTACAAACTACAGACTTTTAGTCGGCCGATAGCTTGATCAGCTTCTACGACAAAATCTGTAGTCTGCAAGGTGTCTAAACGGATGCTATAAAACAAGTGTTTTGTTTACCCCGCATTCGCCATTGCCTCTCTTACAGAGCCAGCAGGATGAGCCCCCCCTGATGGCGTTGCCCTCGGAGTCATCAGCAGCTTCCTGAAGTCTTCATTGGTAAGTCTCTGGGACACTGGAGTGTCCTCCACGCTTCTATCCACCTCCATCCTGGCAAACCTTAACAACACAGGTGTCGAAGGTTTATCTGGAACTGTACTGATTTAGTACTTCGTTTAAGTTTTATTCAGCAAAGAAATTACACTCAAGATCGAATACCAGTTAAAAATGTGGTTAAAAATACATTAAAATTAAACCTTTTATCCACACAAAATAGACGATCAATCACAGACTAAACTCTATCTTTGTGTCAACCCAAGTGTCAATGTCAATATGACAGCCAGCGAAACCACCACAGATAATCAACCAACAACAAAACCATAATTCGAATCGTATCAGTTGTGGAGTTGATCGTATAGGTATCGTAATAATTAATTAAACCTTTTCCATAACATTTTTCATTTAACCCTTTAATGAAATATGGGAAAAAGCTTCCCACTTGGCCAAGTTAGTCAGATTCAGTAGGCAATTAGATTTTTTCCATTAACTATTTAAAACTTGATTTTAAAAACAATCATTGTTCAATTCTATGAAATACTGTACTGAATAATGGAAAATGATAAGTTATTTCTGTTTGTTTTAAGACCAACAGCATACCAACAGTGAGTTTTTCGCTAAATGCTACGAGCACACTTTTAGATTTATCAGAAATTAAATAATCTCCCAATGTTGTTGTTGCACACAATCCTTTATTTATACAATATTATAATATTTCAAATAAAAATGTTTACACATAAACATTGATTTCCTTTTTAACCCCTCATGACTTTGTTCATAGTCATATATTTTATATTCTTATTTATGCATTTAAATAGGTACATAACAACTTAATAATTATATGATTTGACTTAGCTTAGTAAAAAAAATAAAGAAAATAAAACATTTCAACCAAATATGTCATGGAAAGTAGTTCCCTTGAATCCAACATTACTGGTCTGCTCATTTTGGAATGTAATGTACATCCTGAAAAAAAAAACATTGGAGTGGTTAGTAAGAATCTAAATAAATTAGGTTTGTACCTGTAATAAACCATTATTAAATTACTAATCACAATACCTATCAGTTGGCACTCCTAATTCTTTTTGCACAAGCTCATACAAAACTTTAGCATGTTTTTTGTTCTCTTCCACTCCAAGTGCTCCAATCGACATCAGGGTTGCGATGGCACAAGGTTCTGTTGTCCCACTGAAGCTCATGGGTAAGTCTGGTATTACAGATACAGCGCAGTACTGAAAATAGAAACAAAACATATTATCAAAAACTTTCTCAAAACATTTAAACCTGCCTTGTATGCAGTATTAATGTAGGTAATAAGAATTTCCATATCTACAGTGTAAAACATTATTCTGTTGAGCAAGACAAAGTTACTGTGTCCTAAATGACCTCTAGCTTATCAGTCAATTGGCTAGTTAGTAACATAGCTACATACTTCTGCAAAAAATGTTACAAAAAATCAACATCAATTTCTTACCTGTTCAGGTTTTCCAAGAGTCTTAGCAATAACTTTCGTTGCCTTTGATAAAAAGTCCTGAGAGATACTGTTTTTAGGAACGTTTGTTTCAATTCTCAAATGCGGCATTTTTATAGATTTTGTTAGTTACAAAAAAGCCGCAAGGAAGCTGCACTGTAGCAAAATATTACACAACAATGAATGATGAATGAATGAATGAAAGAAATTAACGTCAAGTCAGCCACAGATTATAGAGTAGTATTTGTCAACTTAAAATCGATATATTATCGTATCGATTTAAAATTACACTTTAAAAAGAAACCATTTACCTAACGAAACTATTTCAAGTGGCAAAAATCGGAACAATAACCTAATATTGATAGTAGCGCACTCCTATCAATATCATAGGGGCTGGGACGGTTCAGTGTTGGACAACGTTATTATATCTCTGGATCTTAATGTCTTTAAATTGTCTATGATGGGTTATTTTCAGAAAGAGAGCTGTGGCTGTGCCCTTGCAATCATATCGATGAAAGCAAGGTGAGAAAAGTCATGTATTTTTTGTGCCAGCAGTGGGTCTAGACAAAGAGCACAATAAAATCGCAAACCAGTCGGAAAATAGTCGAAAAGCCTTTTTTTAGAGAGTTTTGACGGATTCGATAAAAAATTGCAACGTCTAGGTGGTTGAGGTGTTGGGGTTGAGGTCATAGAGTTCTAACATTAGCTAAATTATAAATAACATTTAGCTACGCTGGAGCGGAAAAGGGATTTTAGTAACTTCGTACGCATGGATCCAGTTTTCAGTAGCGGCGTAGAATGGATTTGGTACCCTCATAAGTCCATAAGCACCCCAGAATGGTCTCCCCTGATGCTTGGCACCCGGGGCGGCTTCGCCAGCATGAATATCGATCTGAAATAATATCTGTTTGTCAAAGGAAATACTGATGCCTGTTCGTTCAGAGCTGTAAGTAATTTTCATGGCAACGAATTGTTTGCTATCGAGACAATATTTTTTCACTAAGCAGTTACCTAGTCCCGCTTTAACTAAAATATGATGTTCTGTTATGTAATGACAGCAAACGATCCGTTGCCATGAAAATTACAGCTATGAACTAAATGAAATGACTACCTACTTGCTTAATGCTATGAACCTATGTTTGTTAAAATCGGTTGAGTCAGCTTTAAAAGTTAGCAGTCAAGAAGACAGTTTGGCATTTAAAATATTAGTATGGAAATAATAAGGATTACCAAATAAATCGATATCGATGAATTCCACAATACATTCGTAGTTTTTATCTCTTAAGGTACGGCTCTTACGGCTCATGAACTAAGGGTTATTTTAGTACCGACTGTTGCAAAGCTTGTCTATGGTTACGTAGAACAACTTTATTTACGTTCACCCGCTCGGGACTTTTTATCGTTTGGTATTCCTACATTTTGCAGTTTTGCTACGGTTTTGCTGTGCTTCATAAACGCAGTACCTAGGTTAGAGGCTTCCAGTGTGATTCCTTCTTTGAACTGTCAACAAATCAATCTGCTGTCGTTAAAAAAATAAAAATAACATAATATTATTAACTAAGTACATACCTACTTACTGAGTGAATATTTATCAGATAACTTACGTCAAACACTACAATGGGTGCAGAACAATCAAGCTCAAGTAAAGCAAGGTTAGTATTTTTTAAATCTTTTTTGCTTAGATTACTTTTTTGCTTAGATTAATAAAATTTAATTAATCTAAGCTTTTTTGGTAAATCAGCCAGGGTTGCCAGGTGTCCGGCTTTCTCCTAACTTGTTTGGCTTTTTTTGGAAATTGGACGTGTCCGGACTCCGGACTGTCCGGATTTTGATGACTTACAAAAGTACACAGTTTGTGAAACGTTAAAAAATTCTTTTATTAATCACTTATTCTACATTTATATTACTACATGGCAACTATCTTTGAAAATGTAACATAATTCGTTGAAAAGTAACTAGAATTTTTAAAAACTGGACGACAATAATTAATCTTGCCCCCATCCTGGTAAAACGGGATATTTTAATGTTGGGGCATGTTTTTTAATCTACAATCTACATCATTAACGGCTTCCTCCAATCGTCTGATAACCACTATCCTCTATCCATTGTTACAAAAATAATAATGTTTTATGCAAAGAATTATAAAAAAATCGTTAATTTATACGATAATTACACGTCATCGCCATTGAGCTAAATCAAGTACCTTCCCCACCAATCTCCTGTGCTGTGAGTAAAAGTACCTACCCCATCACCTCTACCCCATCTCGACCAGGACACACGTCATTGAATCGCAAAATGTGTTGTGTTGGTAAATGCATAACTCAACAACGCCTGGACCAATTTAACCAATTCTTTTTTTTAATGTTCGTTGAAGTCCAAGGATGGTTTTACGACAAAAAAAATCGAATTATTTCCGGGAAATCCCCGGGCGACGCCGCGGGCGGAAATCTAGTTTCAAATAAAAGCCGTTTTTAGTAACATCATTCATCTGCCTCATAACTAAATAAACATTAAAGCTATTTAGTAACAATAAAACTATAAAAACTCCTTCACTTTTTATATACCTAGCTTCGACAAAAATCACAAAATTACATGAAACTGAACCTAAAAGACTTTTCTTTCTTGTGGACGAATGTGCGTGCTTTCACCTATTTTCGGTATTGCACTAAGGGTGACTAAGGTCTGATTGGGTCCAGGAATGGCTTCTTTTTAGCCTATTTTAATTGTTGACATGGCTTCGCGACCTTCTCGTCCAAAATATCGCAGATTTTCAGTATGTCCTTAGGTCCATGGCCAGTAAGTAGGCCCAGTTGAAAACATTCTACTAACCCAAAGTAATCATTAAGTTTGTGTGTAGGTATTTATTAAAATATTCCGTAATTTAATATTTTGCTTCAGAGAGGCCAATTCTAAGTTTACCAAAGATGAGGTAAACAGAATGTTGGAGCAACAAAAGAGACTGTTTGATGAGCGATTCCAACAATTATTAAAGTTAAACTTAGATCCCACTGATGCTCGAGAGACTGCCAAGTGAGTATCTCTAAACTTATTATACCTAACTAATTATGAATTTCAAACTTTCTACTACTTACGCCACAGCTTAATGTGCTGTTGTCTCCTGTACTTACCTATGACTTAATAAAAACATTTATTTTTAGGCAAGAAGCTCGTAATGAAGTCGAAAGACTAATGAGAGAGAAGGAAAGGGAACTAGACAGACAAAGGCAGCAACAAAGTCCCCTTGGACTTGGATCCCTTGATCGAACACCGTAAGTTCTTTTTTGTAATCTTTATTATGTTCTTAAAAAAATTATCCAGCGCGTGTTTTTCCCCACACAATCAATATGTCAACATTCAACATTTTTTGTAGGAAATTTTGCTGAATGTCTATATTTTTTTTCAGCGTAACATTGGAAAGAGAAAGAGCACCTTACAGCTTTCCTGGAGAAAATCTCGCGAGGGAATTTACAACCGTACCGTCAACCTCAGATCCTTTTGTTAGTATTTACCCAAATCTTGGAAATGCAGCATCAAGCTCTTCAGCTGCACCGAGTTCTCAAAGGTCAGTCAGTAGGACACACGAAACTCATTGCAGAGTAATGAGTTTCGTGTGTCCTACGAGTCATTGCACTAAGTATTAGTGGAACGTTAACTTCTACATATAAGATCCCACAGAAAACCTTCTGAATCTGATAATTCAGGAACATTTACATCTCTGAGCCTCTGAGGTCACATAGAAACCCTACTGAATGGGTTAGTGGAACGCAACTTTTATAAGGACATACAGGACTCTTTCTGAATGTGGTATTGGAACGTGAACTTCTGTAAGATCACTAGATAGACACATTAGATATGAATAAATACCACTCAATAATAATTCGCAAGGCAAACACATACTTAACCTAAGTATTTAACTTTCTTCAAGTGGTTTTTAAACATTTTATAGACAGCTCGCAGTCTATAGGTAAATCCTTTGTCACGAGCAGAATACTTGGAAGGTACTATTTTCAAAATAAATGTTGACTTTCTCATACCTAATTACAGATTTATTTCTAATCTATTTACAGATCAGTTCCATCTGCTCCGCCAGCTCCCAGAGATAGATCCGTTTCCAGGTAACATGCGATAATACCTTTTTTTTTGCTTTTTATATTTTTAACGATTTTTTTCATTTATTTTGGGCAACAGGTTAAAATATTCATAATGATATTTATGTATTTTTACTAATTTTTAGGAACCGCACTGGCAAGGCTACGCGTAACACTAAGGCTGAAGACGACGTTAAATGCCCGACTTGCAAAAATCATTACACTTCAACCATTTTTCAGTGCCAAACTGGGCACAGCTCATGCTTGCACTGCAAAAACCGTATGGCCCGTTGTGGCATCTGTGGTGGCCCAATTACCAACATGAGGAATATCGATCTGGAACATTACGTTGGCCAGGTAAGAATCTTTATAAAACAGCAGCAGCACCTAAAATGATAATAATATAATTGGGCATAAAATTATATAGCCTTAGGCTAATTATTTTAATGCTTAATTTATTTTAAAATGTACTAGCTATAATTTTAAAGTCAACTTTAGGTACTTTTTAATCATAATTATTTTTGCAGAGGACACAACCTTGTCCAAACAAAGATGACGGCTGCAGATTGTCCTTCAAGTTGAGTGACATGGACGGTCATTTAATCGAGTGCCAATATCGCGAGATGAATTGCCCTCTTGCGGCGATCTTTGGACAATGCAGTTGGCGTGGTAAGTACCAAGTCTGGGTCAATATTCCAGTATTAATCTGTTTCATTTATGATGACTTCAGAAAAAAGCGTAGTGCTACGAAAACCTACACATTTACCCTGGCCTAAAAATTGTCGTAGACCAAACCAGAAGATGGTAAAAAATGTTTACTTTAATTATACCTAAATTTTATTATAGGAAAAGTCACACAAATGGCGTCCCACTTTGACGAAGTCCACCAAATGCACCGTCAGGGCAACGTCGACACAGAAATGCGCTTGCTCAACGTATCCAACGACAATCACATAGTGTACTACGTGGTTATAGGAACCTTTAACTTCCTTTTCCATGTCAAAGTGTGTAAGGGAGAAGGTATGATGTACATGACGGTACAACTAATCGGCAGCCAACATAGCGCTTCGAAATGGGGTTACGAAATCCACATTTACAACAAAGCAGAACCCCGCAGAAAGTTTGAGTATAAGGATACGTGCAACCCTATAAACACACCAATCAATACCATCGTAACCATTTCCAAATGTGCGGTAATCCCTCTGTCGTACGCAAATACTTTCCAGAACAACGGCGCTATTACTTACAAGTTTTATATTAGAAAAGAGAATGAGGGTAATAACAACAATTTCGGGAATAACAACCGCGGACGTGGGCCAAGACGTCGTTAATAAAATGCAACAGCAGATAACAAGATAAATCTTATCATGAAACACTGAAATGCTGGACATTTTTATCGGATATTTGATTTGATTTAATATGATCTAAATATATAAAAGGAGAAACTGACTGACTGACTGACAGATCAACGCACAGCCTAAACGGCTAAACGTAGGCACTTGAAATTTGGAAGGGACGTAGCTTAGGTACCGTAGAGGTGCACTAAGAAAGGAATTTCCGAAATTCCCACGGGAACGGGAATTAGCGGGAAAAACGGGATTCACGCGTACGAAGTCGCGGGCGGCCGCTAGTAAATACATAAATTTGGTATAGCAAAGGATTACCGTTACTTCACTATAAGTTGATGAGTATCCAATAAAAATTATTTTATTATTGCGGGTAGGTAAAACACTTACTTTCCCAGATTTGCGTTACCTACACTTAGAAAATCTGCTTTTGAACATAAATAATAATTATTTGATTTTGCATGATTTGATGACATGGCCCTTATTAAATGGGTTATTATTTGCTTATTTTTAATTCGTAAGAACCTATAATATTAGTCTTACAACAATAAGGGAATATTATAGATGGACGATGTTCCTGTTGTATGTCTTCTACAAACATGACATACTAAAACGAGGAAGTTTAGCAAAATAAAAATTAATACCTTCTTTATGATTCAGCATTAAGATAACGAGTAGACAAGGTCCTAAGGACCTATTGCACAGACTTGGCATAGTACCGTCTGTTTTTGAAAGCTGTGGAAGTGTTTTTTGGAACAAAATTGCAGAAAAGTCAATAAGAAATAGAATCCCAATAATATGATACTTTCATACCACTTGTATCACACAAAAAGGGTGTTACCACGGGTTACCTACCATCCATCCGGAGGTCTCCGTACTTTTATTGATCTTTTCCAAATATTAAACAATGTACGGTGAATGTTTTTATATTACACATTTGGGGATAACCCCATTGTCATAACAATCCCTGGATGGCAACTCTTATTATAAAACTTGACTTGTTTGTAGGACTTCCCATTGGAAGCAAAAAATTAAGAATCAATAGCCAGTTAGGGTTTACCTCTGGCAATTTAGCAGATAACTACCAAGAATCTGCTGTAATACAAAATGGACACTGCGCCATTGAATTATTATTTTTCGTTAATATGCAATTACAAATCAACGAAATAAATATGATATAACGTGCTTAAGTATATTTAAGTGTACGTTAAATATGTTATCCTACATTTATCTAAAGTCTAAGTAGTTATTTAGATTGGTTATAAGATAAAAGCATTTAATGTAAAATTAATGTAAGTTACATTATTGACTGCCTCAGGTTAGCCTTTACTCGCCTACATATTAATACATTGGTAAGACAATAAATTTGTTGGTTTTGTTTTTTTTTGTTGTGACGCGACGCTCTGGCTAATGACGAGTCACTTCAGAATTCCTACATAGCACAGTGGACAGAGCAGTCGCCCGGCAATTCAAAGCTTCAAGTTCAACCACCTGAGGTAGTGGGTTATTGGAATAAAAATCTTGTTTAAGTGATTATTTCTAAATTTTTACTGCTTACACGCAGAAGACAAAATGTACACCTTCTCTAAAATATATTATAAGTAATCTTTATTTTAGCAACAAATATGCGTAGATTACGTATTATTACCCAAATAGCTTGTGTTTTATAAGTGAATGTGTATTGTATTATGTAATTTCAAATAAATATCTTGATGTTCTATAAATGTTGATTTCATAATTATTTATCCTACATTATTTATGTGAAAAAATTAAAACCAGATTATTATTCAGGGTGTTTATTATACTCTACCAAAAACAACAACACAGTTTTTCAAACAAGCTAAGTACACACAATATAAAATCTTTAAGTAAGTATAAGTATTCATAAATGATGTTAGGTACTATCGGTCACAGTGTTAACTATCCATTTCCGTTTTAGCTCTTGCTCTAATCGACAACATGACCGGCAATGGGCAGTTAACACTGTTGCCGATAGTACATGAATAAAATAAGTCACAGGTTATAATGGAATCATATAGTATCTAGTACAGTTAGTCTATTTTTATAATTATATTTGATTAAAATAAGAAAAAGTTTTCTATTTCGCAGTATAAACTAAATAATTAAAGATTACATGGAAATAAAAAATAAATAAAATACATAATTGAATTGAAATCTGAACTACAATAAATAAACGTGTGTCGTGTGTCCATCAAATAATAAAATATTATTACGGAAAGATGGTGAAACTATGATTAATAATATTTTTTCTTTTAACAATAACCGTTTGGAATTGAATTCATGCAGCGAATTTAAGTTACATTTGTATTCAAGGACCAATCCATGCCATAATATAATTGAGGACCAAATAATAATAGTCTTTGTAAGTGAAGCTCCGATCTGATATCACATTATTGTTCGAATTTAAATAGACATAAATAACATAGGGGTATAATATCTATAGTCTTAACGAGCTATGTCGTGGCCAGATACCATTTAAACTAAGTATTATACCATAGCACTACAGCATCTAATTCATAAAGTGGGGTCCGGTTCTACTACTTAGGTTCAGCATAATACATATTTATGTAATGTCTTTCCCTCTTCATTTAATGAAAAAATGTTACGAAAATAAAATTAAAACCCGAGGCCCCTGCCTAGGGTTGCCATCTCTAAAATGACAGTTTTTATAAAACGTAGTCGTATCGCCCGGCATTGTTTTTTATACCCGGACAACAAAATGAAACCCCACCCGGACGCTCCCCGGACGGATGGCAACCCTACCCCTGCCATAAAGTCACAGATTAGTGAAAGTATGTAGGTAGGTGCTTCCCCTGTCAAGGAGCTATTTATGTATTTAGATTTATTAATCTTTAGACAAGTTAAGTGCGATAATACCTCCGCTACGGTTATTTTTGTACTAACCATAAAACGTAGTGTGAGAGCGAGAAAAAAATCAATGTCAATTGTTGCGGGGAAATCCCTGAACATGCATTTAGCTTTCGAGCATAGACAAGTAAAGCTGCCATGTGTTAAATTGATGAGTTAATTTTATTTAATACAAAAGAAAAGATACCAAATTGCAAAAATGTTAATAACATTGGATAGTAATTCAGACGGGGGACGGGTACCGCATTAATTTAAATATAAGCAATGGCCACAAATGTGTACATAATTAAAAAATAAATTACCTATTTAAAACATTTTTAACATATTTATTATTCATAATCCTCTTTTCATTCAAGGAAGATTAAAAGAGAAAAAAACATGCATTATTTTTTGCTGTTCACGCACAAAATACTTCGACGTTACATTAATAGGTAGATTAATACCTACAAAAATTAAAACCAAAGACAATAATTTTACATAAAATAGTGAACACATTTAGTTCGTATTTTAGTTTTTAAATATTCACATTAAAGCAAGGGCACTTGTTTAAATCAACAAGGCTTTGGACGGCATGGGCAGAATTTAAAGTTCCATAACTAAATAACTGTTGTGGCTCCCGATTTCATTACGCTTTTTATGTAATTTAAATAAATCAATTTCCCACACAAGAGGACTGCGTTGGCGGAGATTATGTATGTCATTATCTTGTACTTTTTCTACAGGATTTTTTATAAATAGAACGACGCCGAAGTTTCGGTGGCGATAGGTATTTAGTTAATTTGGAAAATCTTTATTTGAGCTATTTAATGCTGAGCGAAAACTAAAAAAAAAATGATTACAGTTATTCCATTTATGAATGAGAAAAGGATGTCCAAAAGTTTAGAATAAAGCGCGCCAACATTTATTTAGTTANTTTAAACTCTGATTTTTAATTCGACGGAATTTTGACATTTCAGAAGTGTTGTCAACACTGAAACATTCCCACTAAGAATGGAGAGCATTTTCATTAATTAAAAAATAATCCATTCTTGAATTTAAGGTTTAACTTAAAAAACTAAGGCTTAAAAATGTACCGATCATTTCAAAATGGTTATTTGAATTTTTATTATCATACTTTTGAAGTAACAAAAAAAATTGGGAAATTATTTTTCTATTACTGGACTCCCTGGCCAATAATCCATGGTTTACAAACCTTTTTTATGAAAATCCTTTTGTTAATAAAATCTTCGCTTCATAAAATAATCAACTTAACAAGATGCCAATTTTATAATCCAAGTTGATTATGATGACGTAATGATGATTGATGATCAATACATATTTTCGTTTATGATAATATGTTGTTTTACTACGTTAAAAACACGTTTTTTTTCTATTTAATCTCTAAAATGTACATAATAATTAGTGTTCATTGAATTCACGAAACAAAAAATAGTTCATTCTTGTAAATTGTACTTGATAAAATTTCATTTCATATTATTTATTAATAATTCAAAGCAAAAAAGGCTTATTACATCTGAATTGTCAAAAAATGACAGCTGTCAGAATTCCGTCGAATTAAAAATCGGACTTTAGTTATTTTGTTAGATCTCTATGAAAACATGACCACTAAGCTACGGCGTCGGTCTATTTACACCTGTATAAACGTGACACGTACGTGACACGCCACGCGCAACGCCTAGTAGGTAGTATGAATTTTCAGTTTACCCACTAGCCATGATTATGCGAACTAGCTGAACCCATTCTCGTAGGTAAGTAATATAAAAAGCCGTCCGTAAAGTTCAAATTAATATTGTTTAGAATCAAAATTTAGAATGATACATAATTTAAAATTAGTATTATAATAAGACACATTTAGAATACAGTAAAAATAAATATTACCCCTTAAATGTACCTATTGGGTAAATCTATAAAGATTTTATTTTTATGACAATAGGTCCAGAAATAAGGACTAAAATCCAAAATAGTGTTCAATTTTTAAGAGGACATCAGTTAAGTTTTTATATTCACTCACTTGTATAATTTTAAGTACATATACATACATACATTTCAATGTTGACGAAATCTAGAATTTAAATTTTAAAGCATATCAATCACAATATTTTAAAACATATTTGAAATTAGACATTAATGAACATTTCCAAGGCAGCATTTTTCTTTACAATTTCACCAATTCCCAATCCCTGTATTCTTTGCTTGTTTTAACTGCAGCTGCTTTATAAATACAAATGTAATAACCAAACCGAATAATTTTAAAAACTTATATCCTTATTATATGACTAGATTTTATTCAGATCTGTGCAAAGCACTCACTTACTCTATTTAAAATACAAAAAGTGTTTCACACCACATTGCCTATGGAATAGGTGTAGAATACATCAAATTTTATGTGCCAAATAGTGTCAACTAAGTGTAGAAACCAACAAATAAATGAGAGATCATGCCACACCCACTTCAGTCTAGATAATATCAATACCTGTAGTAGTATTGACTGACACAACATAACATTTTGTAACGTTTTTGGAATGTTTTTGGAAAAATTTCAAAATGGAATGTTTCCTTTTTAGTCAAGAGCCCTGAATCAATGCCCCTTATCTTTCAGAACTTCCATTTAAAATCAAGTAGTTTTGTAATTTTATTACTGTAAAATTTAAAAATCTAACGAATGCAAAAAACATTCAAAACAGTGAAACAATTAGTGCCTGTACCAATAAATTTAGAGATAAAAGGCCAAAGTGAATACTTTCCTTAGTTATTTATACCTCCGTTATATGCATAGTCAGCCTTGTTATGCATCACCAGGTGGTTGTCCACGAAGTAGAAGCTATCGGAGCACGTCTCAAATGGAGCCGCTATCATTTCTTCCACTGAAAATTATATAAAACCTAGATTAATAACATTACTGATCAGAAGGACCAAACAGACTAAACAAATTCTCTTCCCCTGACATAATTACAGGTAAAGTGAACTGTTATTGTAGATAATTTACAGATAAGGTAATATCAAATTGGTTATGCTACTTGATTATTGTATGATTTGTGGTAGGGCAAGCTATATTTGGGATGTGTATAAGTGCCCTGAAAAGGGCCTATGTACTGAATAAACTATTTGAATTTGTATAAACATACCCAAATCAGGTGGCAGTGTTGGAAATTCGTAAATGTGTTCGCATGTGTTCCTCGAAAATGGAATACAGAAGCCGAATTCGAAATCAAAAGTCTTGAGCAGCGTATCCCTGAAGAAATGTTTCTCAATCATCCTGAAGTGGCTCACTGGACGAGCACCGACAGTAAATTCCACACTGAAAATTAGTAATGATAGAAATTAAAATTTACTGTTGAAAACATTAAAGAGACCTATGATAAGTTCTTACGGCATACTTCAGTTTCAGCTTATTCAAAACTACCTTCTCACAAGAATATCAGTTTAACACAGATTGTTGTAAATAAATTGTAGCCTATGTTTTTCTGTTGTTTAATAATAATACTATAAAGGTTGATCTAAATTAATTAGTTTTTATTACATAAAAAATAACATCTAATCATACTATTTTGTTGACAGCATTTAAAGCATTAGAAATTATACTTGTAAATAAAATTACTTACGTTGCTCCAACTGTCTTCAACTTCAAAAACTGTGGCGTAAACTGGTATCTCACGAATCTACCTGCATTGGGATCCAACGGCTCTTCCTGAGCATCCTCAGCACCTTCGTTGTCAACTCCAAAGTCAGTCGGAGGCTTAGCTATCTCAAACAAAACAGTCCCAGTCTCCAAATCACGTATTTTGAACCTCGTAAAATCTATGTCGTATACATTAGCTTCAGGGCTACAGAGATATGTGTCGGTGATTCTGTCCAGCCTCAACACGTCGTCCGGAGTAACATTGCAAGGCTTTATTTCGTCTTTACTGGATTCAAGTAAAGTTATCGATTCGCACTTTTTCCCGACCAAACTCATTTTCGCTGGGTTTAACACGAGAAATAATAAAATTAAAGGCGCGACTGAAATTTAAAGCGGTTTAAAGAAGTAATACGGAGGGTAGTATGAAGTTATCAAATCATAATTTAAAACATTTTTGAAGTTTTTAAAGTTTCTAATGTGTAAATTCATTAGTTTTTTCCGTTTATCGAAAATCGATCAAAATGTGAGTGAAGGAAGGACAACAGCTGTCATTTCTTTTCTTTCTTTCGTTCGATTCTTTCCATTTGCAAGCCAAGGCATTAATGCTATACAGCCAAATAAAGAAGTGCACTATCATTTATTATATACTCTCTGGCATTTCAAGGAACGGTTTTGGAACGGTTTTCGTATTCTTAATGTTGTAAACGATTGTTACGATTGCAATAAATTCCAAATTATAGTACAAACTTATTTTTAATGTATAAAATTATCAATTTTTTATATTTAATTAACTCTCAATATTAATTTAGGTAAATTCAAATGTAATGAACGCACCCTAAATTTTGTCGTAACATCCGTTGCGTCATGAAACGAGCATGCGCCTTGTCATTTTCATTGGCTGGTCATAGATAAAAATTACAATAATCTGCCAATAATCGGGATATAGCTCAAGTCCTAAACTGTGATAGATATTATTTTGCGGTGGTAGTGGACTGTCTGATGTGCATTTAAGTGGAATTTAATAAAACAGCAACATGCTTATCAAAGAATAGTAAGTATATTCACTAAGGTTATACACCGAGATTGAAATTGAATCGATTTTTGGCCAATCTATCTGAAACTTGGGTTGGAGCCATCCTCAAATTCTACCTTATCAGCAGACACAAGTCAGAGCTTAATTCAGTGAAATTTTAGCGTGTGGTTAATATTTATTTGAATTTATATTGAATGAGATGTTATCTCGTACATGACACTGACAGTAGACGTTCAGGTCAAGGCCCAAGGCTCCAGATGGACACTGTGAAGGGATTTCAAGTTAACTAGCTGTCTCCATAATTTCGCAATATATTGGGCAAGTTTGAGTTGTTTATAACATATGTTTTCTTTCTTTTCAGCCGTGTAACCCTACCTCTAACAGTTGAAGAGGTAAGTTACTGTAAATCTTCGTTTTTTGTAACATAAGTAACTAATAACACCAATTACTTAGGACTGTTAAAATAATACACTTCTATGGCATGTGTTTTAGTGAAAATAGTGTTAATAATAATAAATATTTGGTGATGTGCCACATCAACTACTTTCCATCTGTTACAAAATGTTACAATTCATTCATGTAACATAACCTAAATGTTGTGGTAATTTTTGTTATCACTCATTATCAGTGATGCCATTATATTACTTAGATAAATAGATATAACATTATTATGTTGCCTTGAAAGTTTTGGTTACCTACCTGTTTACAGCCAATTTTATTTCAAAGTAATATAAAATTCAAGCACACTAGAGAATATAAATTTTCACCAGGCAATCTCCAAATTCCACTTTTCACCATGTCTTAAAACACTCGACATCAGCTAAACCAGTGTGAACAGAATAATAATAAGAAAATTACAATCGACAAACATCACATCGTTAAATCATAAAATCTACAGCAAGTCAGATGATAAATACAGATTTTTTTTGCACTACAATCCGTGGCCATGCTGAAACATTGAGTAGTATGTTTATAGAAAAAGGACAATTCTTTTTTAATTTGTAAAGCAAAACACAAAGTTGCTTCCGAAGTTATATGTATTTTGTTACAGAGATTTATAACCATTTGAAAAAAAGATTTACTTTACTCTGACTAGCTGGGAAATTCAAAGAATATTTCTAAGTTTTCACGATGAGAAAAACTGTTGAAACTCAATTAATCTACCAACAGAACTGTCTAAAGATGCTTGAAGTCATACTTAATAAAAATCGATTTGCATAATTACCATTTTCTAAGCAAAAAACATCAGATCAATGTCTCAAACTAGATAACATTGTATTTTTACTCCTAAAAAGAGCCAGATATTTTTTATAACGAACTTTTCACATCCTAACGCTGAAACTGCCTGTTAAGATGTTGCTAGGCTGTCCTATACATTAAACAATAGGTAGACCTTCAAACCTTATTTATTTCATCAATGAAAAAAATCCTGCTCTAATAATTTTTCTGTCTTTTATAATGCTTCTGTTATCTTATTACTACAATAGTAAACCATTTATATCTTGGTTGTTTATTGTATTTTATGAAATGAGACTACTGATAAAGTTAATAAACAATTACCTAATTTCGTTTTATGACTATGTTTGTTACATATTTTTTCAAATGTGTAGGAATGAGCTAAAATAAACCAAGCTCTATCGAACTTTTGACGTCTGCTGGCTACCGCGCCGTTTCCGTGGCTTAATTTTTCCTTATTGCTCACAAAATGAAAATGATTCAAGTACTCATTAGTTTTTCCATAAAAATTAGTTTTTATTTGTGCAGTAGGTGTGTGTCGAGTACTAGAGTAGATTCAGCATTATCTCATTTCAAGCTGTTTGGTTGGATCGGGTATGCTACCAGAAATAATAACGATTCAATATTCCAACCGGGTTTCGGAATCGTTAAAACATTTAATTGAATGTTTGAATTCCGAAAACATCCGAATCAATCGAGAGAGCGACGTGGTTACGACCTCTTATAGTCGTTCAATATATTGTCAAATTGTTAGACACACTGCTGTTACAGCCTACACTTAATAAAACATCGAAATGCTCTTTACTAATGGCTACAAGATCTTGAGTTTCAAGGTTTATCCTGTCGAGAATTCAAATAAGAGCAAACATCATGCTACTGTACTTTGTTTACGTAGTAACATGCCTCACGCGTATCTCCATAATCTCCATTACTATCACAGTCACAGATTACTATACGGGCTTAAACTACCATCTGTATGGGTTTTATTGGGGAGAATATCGCCAAGAGAGACTTTAAATTGGGTAATTTCAACACTACGGCAACGGTATTCCACCATAGCAGCTAAAACCAGTTTACCAGTGGGCATGCATTAAGCATACGACCTTTATAAGGCACTTCTTTAAAATACACACGTCTGTAACTCCCCCGATAGAAGAGGAACAGACAGACGAGACGACCAAGGTCCGCCATACACGGACAGCTTGAAGCAGCTAGTATCCGACAGCTTCAAGCTGCGACTGCATAGCAAACTACAGTACACTACGTACACACATACACGGAACCGCTCGAGCAGTTACAACTGTTACCGTAGTTTGCTATGCAGTCGCAGCTTGAAGCTGCCGACACTTAACTACTTCAAGCTGTCCGTGTATTAGCAGGCTAATACCGGTTGCAGACCAAGAGCTAAGCTAAGTTAGTTTCGTTTAGCTCGCATAGCTGACGCAGTTTCCCATAGAATTGGCATAGTTTTCAGTCTACACACGACTATGGGAAACTGCGTCAGCTATGCGAGCTAAACGAAACTAACTTAGCTTAGCTCTTGGTCTGCAACCGGTATAAGGGCTGGTTTCCACCAAGGCGGAACTGAGCGGAGAAATGTTTCGAATAACCAATCAGATTTTATTCAGGTTGAATGAAATTGACAGAATGCAATCTGATTGGTTATTTATTATTCAAAACATTTCTCTGCTCCATCTTGGTGGAAGCCCGGCCTTAGGATGTTTTTAATATCGTGCTGATTTCGTCACGGATGCGGACATGCGTGATACCAGCAACCCGCAAGTTTAGTGTCCTTTGCATCGGTCCATTTTAGTTTGCTCGATCATCATCATCATCATTCCAGCCATAAGACGTCCACTGCTGGACATAGGCCTCCCCCAATGATTTCTATGTTGACCGGCCTGCGTCCAGCGCCGTCCTGCTACCTATATGATGTCGTCGGTCGGTCCACCTTTTTGGTGGACGTCTCACGTTTGCTTGATCAATAAGTAATTATAATATTTTATAAATATCTATAAATCAGTATTTCATTGTACACAGTACCAAGTGGCACAGCTGTACTGCGTGGCTGAGGTGTCCAAAAACGAAACGGGCGGCGGCGAGGGCATAGAAGTCATAAAGAATGAACCGTTCAAAGACTACCCATTGCTCGGTAAGTAACCAATTAGCTTTCATTAGACATCTTAGCATGTAAGGTCCATCGGTAACGAATACACCAGCCGGGCTAGGATGCGCGCCGTGATAAAATCTTATCGCTGATTTTAGACGACAAATGTACAGGGCTTAATATCACTAAAAATCGATAAAATGTCTCGATAAAAGTCTCTCCTACGCCTACTGACTATAAAATTTTGATAATAGTTAACAAATCATCTGATTCTAATACCTACATACCTACTGTGTGTGTGTCTAAAGCGGCAATAGAAATAACTATGAGAATATACCTACTGACTGTTTATAAGAGTCTGGAATGGAAGTACACAGAAGTGTCATATTTAAAACAATCTGTAAAAATATCGATGTAAACAATTACATAAACCGTTAGTGTCGTCTGACAAATTTTTCATGTACAGAAACATTGTTTCAAACATCTGTCAACACAATAATCAGTCAGAAGCTAAATAATTTCCGTTAATTAATATTATGTAAAATTAAATAATTTATATCCATTGTAAAGCTTATTATTTGGGATTTGCAAAGATCTTAAAAGAGTTTTGTGAACCTAATATTAAAATTTCAGTGAAGCTGGCTTAGATTGAACCAAACGATGACGTCGTGTTATTTATTATGCCTTCGTAGAGACGGCCTTCGACACGCGTATCGGATACGCTGTACTATGAGAAAATTATACTAAATAATTTTTAAAATCTATGCAAATCACTTTCGTACAAAGATTCCTTCAAATATGATTTAAAAACGGTCCAATATTACCTAGCGCATGATTTAAGTCTTCGACAATAGACAGCTTCCTTATTTTGTTGTAGTGTTTCGGCTCTTACACATTAAATAATGTATTGCCTAATTAATATACCAAAGACATAGGCAAGCAGAAAATACCACTTTCAGTATCAAAGATCTTACTCGGTTGAACGATTCCATCAAGTAAATACAAAGTTCAGAAATAGTAGTGTGGGTATCATTAGGGCACGAACACACTGGTTATCATGGTTGGTTATAAGCAAGCATGGTTTACTCAAGAATTTCTGACATCCCTTGAATATTATATGCACTCGCATGCATGGTAGTAACATTTCCTTGATAGCTCCCTTGTGGCCTTGCAAACGAGCAACATTTTTACGGCAATATCTAGCCGGCAAGCTTTGTTGTTACGGCGTTACGGCAATGTATACGTAATGGCGATTCCGGGTTACATTTCCCCGTAAACCGGAGTGTTCCCGTAAAATGTAGCTTTATATTGCTGAAAAATGTTGCGCGTTATCTGCAAGGAAGGACCTGTACGGCTAGCACGAAAACCTTTCGAGTTCGAATCGTTTGCGTATTCGAATCGCCATCAAAAGATTTAATACGAAAACTACAACAGCGCCCTTGTGAACGTGTCGTAAAGTGAACTTAGTACGAGAAATGGTTGCACGAAACTTATTTTGAGAGTCAAATTGTCACGTTATCGTTTAATTCGAAGATTGAGTATCGAATTTTGTTGAATACGCAAACGATTCGAAGACCAAAGTTGTTCATGCTAGAGGTAATACTGCATTAGTTATTTCAATTTCGCTTTTGTTTAGGGGTAGGGATAAGCAAAAAGGCGGCAACTTCGAAAAGTGCGGACGAAAACTGCAACGCGTGTCCCACTTGTAAAGAAGACGGTATTATTTTGAACCTATTTCTCATTAGAAACAATGTATTGAAGCTCCGGTGCACATTTCAATCGCGTGTTTTAATGTTATCTTTTTATTTGGTTCTTTATTTACTTTAGTTTACGTTTGGGTTATCAGTACAGTCTAATTTTTTAGAAATCAGCAGAAATGTCATCAAAAATGGCCAACTGACATAAAAATATTTTTAGTCTGTGAACTAGTGATGCGACAAAACCTCTCGTTAATCGCGAAGTGAAATTATTGTAGTACTTGCGTATCATCGCCGGGTGATCGTCAAAATACTAAAAATATGCAACAAAGTCGCAACATTGAATGTGAACTGATTATGAAATTTTCGAGAACAGGAAACAAACTGTATGCACAGATGTAATCAAAAAACACACTAGACAGTAAAACAATCAATGATATCCGTAAAGTTATATTAAACTTCAAATAGTTGCAAAAAGTTCTGTTTGACAGTGTTGCTACTAGTGACATCTCGCTCGCTCAGTTCTTTGTTGCTGTATTCCGCTAGGGAGGTAATTTAAGATGCTATCAATTAAAAGAAGATTTTTATTTTCTTTTATTTTATTTACTTATATAGGAAAATAAGCAATGGAACAATACGTAAGCATAATTGCATAAAAAAGTAAAGTAATTTCGTTAAATAAAACCGACTAAAAATTAAACTGACTCCGATAAAGTTCACTAAAAGTAGAAAAATAATCATACGTTATCTCCTTCTTTCTGTGGGTCTAGTCAAAATGCCTCCAATATTGTCGAAGTTATCGCTGGAAAACTAAACAAAGTATCGTATACATACTTTTTATTTAAAAATAATCAGTAATCGGAATAAGTGAATACTAAAAGTAATATCGATTAAATTTACAGATTATTGTCTATGACTCACAGGTTACAGCACTGATGTGTCAGAGACAAGTCATAGACAATATGGAGATAACACATGATTTTAAACGTCAAGTCAATTTGACAAATCACAAATTTTCATCGTCCACGTATTTTGCTAAAATAATTTGTTTCAAAGATTGATTTCAAACTTGTATAAACGTGAAAATAAAGTTGGTTTCATGGGCTTGTTAAATAATGTGTATGATATTATGAACACGTAAGTGATTATGGTGTAATTGTGTATGAAAGTGTTTGTTTACATCTCTGCTGGATTCTAAAAAATCAAGGTATAATATTTACGCGAAAATTAAAACCTAATTATAGCATACTATAATTATTACCAGCTCAATTACTAATATGTATTATTATTAAGCACAAAAATTACGTAATTTGTTTTTGAAACAACATAATTGCGTTAATGGTACTTATTAAAAAACTGGTTTGTTGCAAGTAATATTCTGAACGTTCATCACTTCCATGATTAGACAGACAATTGGCTGATCATTAGCACTAAAGAAAACGAAATAAATAAAATTCCATTTCGAATACAATGTGCACCCAGCTTAAGAGTAAAATTTAGGTGAAGTAATGTTTCGTCTATTATGGTAAATTAAATAATAGCACAGTAACATTATGTAATTTGGATTATGATCATCCATTTGATACATTTAGTTGTAATATTGATATTTTGTTTCATTTGTAGGTTTTAGTATTTGATTGATTAGATAAGATCCTACCTACGACGAAGTTTTAGGTAACAATTATTCAGATATTTCGTTAAATACTTAATTTGTACAAAATTGAAAACTGCGTTGAGATTGTTACATTAATTCTTGAAACTGACACACGCTTGAATGCATCATGTAGACAAAATAATACTTGACTCAACATAAACTTGTGCACTTCACAACAGACTTATGTCGACGGAGTAAGAACTTTAATTGTTTGAATTGTCTGTCTTGATTTGGTGGCACATTTAACTATTTTTAAAATGACGTCATATTTGCTAGTTTGGTCAGCTGCTGTAGTGTTTGGTTAAGTGTATGTTCTGCACACAATGTTGAATAAAACACTTGTTTTATAATCAATGTCCAACCGTATTCGTGGGTTTCTTTAAACTCTTATTGTATAATGCAAATCCGAGATCAAAATAGGGGTCTTTGTTATGAAACACTCAAAACTGGACTCAATTTGTAAGAAAGAAATGATTATTTTCTTTAGGCTTGAGCTGTGATAGACTAAACTAAAAAAAAACTTACATTAAAACTACATTATTTAGAATTTTAGATTCATACGGATTAAAACTTGTCGAGTTTCGTTGCATAATCGCGCCTAAAATCTCTGTTACTAAGGGCTACACAAAAAAAAAACATGACCATTTATATTTTCACGACGCGACGATTGTTTTTCAATAAATAGGCTAGTTGCCTAAAAAAATTTTTTTAGTCCGTAATGTTTAATATCAAAAAATATTGGACACATATAATTTTATTTGTCAATCTAACAAATAATTACATAGTTATGGTGCGTTGAAGTTGCGCACGATGTCACAACGTGCGGCATTTTTAAGCAAGCGTTGACGTCACGGGCCTCTTCTTATGAACTTTGGGGCGCTTTATCTCTTTAAATTTTCATTAGTTTGAAAAAGTGAAAAATACGTGTATAGTATTTTTTGATAAGTTAACTGACGGACTAATTAAAACTCTTGCATTTTGACCCAGGCAACATCCCCATTTCATTTATTTGCCACACATAAAACCTGTTTGCTAAACAACATTAATGGTCATACCAATTTGCTGAAGGCAATTTGTTGTCATGCGTTGGTTTTATCGAGAATCTTGATTAGTTAGCGTCACAAATAAAAGTTTAAAATTGGATAACTGGTACTCTGAAGGCCTTGAGGCTTCACCCCAAACCGTTGTTGAGAATAGAGATCTAAAAATAACCTCCTCTGAGGCCTATCTCGGCTTTGAACTCGGAGACCAAGTCGTGCGGTACTATTTAAAGACCTATATTATGCAACCCGTAAATACAACAGAAATTAAATTAATTGATTTATTAATTTAGGACTATCAGTAGTGTTTGACGAACATAATTATAGCAAATCAAAACTTTATAATATAATTAATTTCGTAATATATGTAATATTTCGCAAAAGATTCCATTTTCATCAAAAAAAGATTATTATGTAAGCTGTTTAACTGTCTCTAACTACCTACGGACTTTACCACACCCTATCGATGTGCGTAAAGAAGCTTATAAAGTCACTAACCATAAAATAAAACAATTCGGCTTATTATAACAAAATCGCTCAAAAGAATTTTCGGCAACATCACCGTGTACCTAGATTATTCTTATCTCAAGATAATCGGTTTTTTATGAATCATAAATGAGTATGTTCGAGTAAATAATAATATTAGCATTCAATATAGGTACAGTTAAATATAAGTTAGAAGTAATGTTTACTTAGATCTTAGCAAACTTTTAAAAATGCGATTCTATAAAGTTACCCGTAGGTTACGGTGCCAAACGAAACGATATCAAGGAAATAGATAAGGGTCTTAATCATCAATCACCTAACGTTCCCAAAACACATTTTAAAGCTTAAAATATTAGTTGTATGCGATAACAATAATCGTGGATCTTTCTTCCGTTCGCGCCCTTTGATGACAATTTAGTATTAGACGTTCGAGTATTTTGGATTTTGAAATCTGTAGTACTGTGCAATGTTTTCTTGCGGTCTTGCGCTTTTTTCGACCCTTTATTCTATTCTATTAGTAGTTGCTCATCTTCTATTTCTAACATCATCTTTATACGAGTTTTGTCAAATAAACAGCAACATCTCCGCACTGATATTTTATTCTGTGGCATTGCGCCAATCAAGAATCGAGACCTCTGCAAAATCTAAATTGATGGATTCATGCTTTTCAATTTTCATTGTTATTTGAACGATACAATTCTATCAAGAAAAAAATCGGAAACGTAAATGATTCGTGTTATGATAATGTTACCATAGGTTTCACATTTCAACTAGCAACAAAAACTGCTAATACACATTAAATCAATGGCCTCAAAAATTTGCGAAATGTGGGTCAAGCCAGCATTTACAAATGCTATCAATGCAACATCTGTTGTTTCGATGCGTTGGGAACTTTAGTTAGCTGAATCCATTTCGATAAAGCGCTATGGTAACATGAGGATTAGCCAATTTGTCCGTGTCGCGAAATGTGTGCGATAAGAAACCTGAAAGTAAAAATTACTTGCCTATCTGAATGTCGTTGACTTCATACTTGATAGCAATAATAGGTTATTATACTGCGTTGTTACACTTGTTATTATTCGTCTGTCAAGTTTTTTCAGTGAACTTACAGAGCTTTGGTAAATCTTTATTGGTATGTTCGTTATTTTTAACACATCTTTATTAAAAACTGGTTCAACTGGCCTACTTTTTGACGCCCTTTCCTTATTTTTGTATGTATCTTTTCCTTTTATTTATGAGCTTTAGAGATAGTAGAGTGAGAAAGGAATACCATTTCACTTTTACGCTTAATTTTCTATCAATGTTAACAGTTAATCTACCTCGTTAACAGTAACAACCAAACACAGCCTGTGACTTCAGCAAAAAGTGACACATACACCAGTTGTTGTTATCATTATACACACATGAGTATACGCAAACATAAGTAATTGTTACCCACTGGTAGCGTAATAACAGTATAACAGCGGTAGATAACTGGCATACTTATCTAGTAAGTAGGTAATGCGCGTAATCGTAGAGATGACTTATTTGATATTAATTTTCTTTCATTGGAAGTCTAGCCCAGTAATCCAGTATCATATTTATAGAATGATAATGAAAGTACCTAGTATTCATAATGAACTTTTAAAGAGACACTATGATGAATTTACCTAGAAGTTATCTTGTAGGTGGTATTAATGTAGGTATTCCGTTTGTAAATATTTACTTGTATTAGTAAAAAAACAATGTCGTATAGCGTCGAAGCATATCTTATCAGTGTAATAGGTTTCTGATGCATCAACACAACACGTGTGAGTTCTGTGTTAGGGCAGTTTTCCACAAAAGCGCAGAGGAGAAGAGATGTGTTTGAAATAACCAATCATATTCCCGAACCGAAGCTGCGGGTAATTACGCAACGCTGTTTACTTAGTTTCGGGTCTGTCTGTCACAGTTGCTCACGCTGGCATCTGCTTTGCGTGAAAGGGATGGCAACATTCGAAACTACGCATAAAATTTTTCGGAGTAACCCCGATAAGCGGAACGAAATTTGATTGGTTACCAAACACCTCTCCACTCCTGTTTGTTAGAAATCGGACCTTATTGTTTTAACGAGTAGGTTTAAAATGGTTTGGTTACTCCAGGGGGCAGATACTCCTCGGGCCAGTACACCTACAAGATCTACCACTTGGCGTCGAAGGTGCCCGCCTTCATCCGGCTGCTCGCTCCCAAGGGAGCCCTGGAGGTGCACGAAGAGGCGTGGAACGCGTACCCATACTGCAGAACTGTGCTCACGGTATGTTCTTATTTGTTATATGATAAAAAATTGTCTCTGGTTACCACGTATTGATCGTTACATCCACGAAGACGCGCCCCACCAATTTTTGGTCGAGGGAAATGCGGGGTGCGGGGAGTTTGATCCGAGCAATCCGAGTGTCATTATTGTAGTGTGCGTGTGCACTGCACTCATACCGTGTTTTAGCGTGTACCGATAACACTCAAACTGTTGGGGCGCTTCTTCGTGGATGAAATGATCCATGAATATTTTAAATTTTCCATCAAAGTGGAGACGCTTGAAGGCGAGCGTCATAACGGGTAGGTTATTTCTACCAAAGCAAGGTGGGAGCTCAACCGCTTCCATTCCAGTTGATATTCTTGAAGCGCTGGTCAGTCCAGAGTAAGTCTCGTCTTGGCTTTAGTTAGTGGATGATGGCCCTAAAATTAGACATAATTAAGCTTTTAAACATTTCTTGCTCTAGCTAATTAAAAGGGTTGCCAGGTATCGGGATAAAATTGGACATGATTGTTTTGGAACTCGGTCTCTGTGATAATAACCGTCACTTAGATGCTGATAAATTGCCTAGAACTCTCTTCATTTAAAAATGTCTCGATTAACAAGTGCNTCAATTGCACTTTATGAATGATCTACTTGTATTTTAAACCACCACGCACCAGTAACTTAATTCTAATATTTCTGCGAATTTGAACCTTATGAACATAGGCCTCCCCCTATGCTTTCCATGTTACCCGGTTGGTAGCGGCCTGCGTCCAGCGCTTTCCTGCTACCTTTATGATGTCGTCGGTCCACCTTGTAGAGGCCTATGTTCAGCAGTGAACGTCCTATGGCTGAGATGATGATGATGATGATGAACCTTATGAATAACATTATTTTCTAATTTTCAGAATCCGGGCTACATGAAAGAAAACTTCGTAATTTGCATAGAGTCGCTGCATTTACCAGACGTCGGAGACCAATACAATGTGAGTACTCAGCCATTTATCTTTATACTATTTTATCTACCAAGTACATAGTAGGTAGTGTAGGAAAATTATATACTAGTAAGATCCTAGTACTACACTTTATTTACTTTGTATAGACGACAGCATATCAAGCTCACTGGCATCTTATTTCGTGGTATTATATGCTATTTTCCAACAAAAAATCTTAGTTTCTTTCTAGAATAAGGCTTGACACGTAAAACCTTGCACACATCTCTTACGTCGTCCGCATAAATGTAAAAATCGACCTGAATGTGTCATGTTTGACGTGCGTTATCTCCTAGAGCAAAAACATGGTATGAAGTACTATTACTAACTATTACTTATGCGGTATGGAGCGTGCTATGCTCGAAGTTTCCCTGCTCGATCGAATCATAAATGAGGAGATCCACAGGAGAACTAAAGTGACTGACATAGCCCGCAGAATCGCTAAAATCAAGTAGCAGTGCACAGTGGGCTGCACGTTGGGGCAGAAAAGTTCTTGAGTGGCGACCACGAGCTGGAAGAAGTAGTATGTGAAGGTCGCGGGAGGTCTTTGTGGAAATTCTTGGGGGAGGCCTTTGTCCAGCAGTGAACGTCATTCGGCTGAAACGAACGAAAGAACGAACTTAATGTTGGTTGACCGTGTTTACACAACAACGCCGTGTTTACGGGTTCGATTCCCGCGATGTACTAATGGTAGTGCGATAAGCACTTTCCTTGGGTCCAGGTAATTAAATAATACGCTTCCTCAAAGGCAAAGTAATATGCAAAACCCCTTTTCTGTGAAAAAATGCACTAGGATCATTTTACTGCAGTGGAAATTTTGAATATCGCATCATTACTTGAATTACTTGTAATCAAGTACCAATTGATGTGATTGAGCGATGAGTAAACTGTATTATATCGTCATAGTTATTTAGAAGAATCGNGCAAATCGAAGGTGGATGATGTACTCGTTGATATTTATGCTGAATCCGCTCCAGTCCAGAAGCTTGAAAACATCTTCCAGGGCGGGGTTGAACAGTATCGGAGATATTATGACGTCTCCCTGTCTCACTCCTTGCTGCAACTGGATGAGTTTCGAGTCCTGATTCTGGAGACGAACCGACATTGTGGCGTTTTCGTACAAGCCTTTCAACACTTCGATGTATCTATAGTCAATTTGGCACCGTTGGAGAGACTGTAGCACTGCTCAGATCTCGATCGAATAGAAGGCATTTTCATTTCTTTATAGTTACTTTTGTGAAGCCTCAATGTAACCTTGTTAGTGATTGAATAAATAAATAAATAGTCCACAAACGCTAGATAAAGTAGTAATTACCTTGATAATTTCTTTGATTTACTAGTGTTTGGATTGACTGGTAGCTTTTTTGTTAGCTGTTAAAAAAAAATATAACTACCTACTTAATCATTTAAAAATCTTTCTTGTTGTTTTAATATTACACAATTTGGATAAACACAATATTCTACGAAGTGATGGAACAATTTTCTTAAAAATTTAAGAGAAATATTGTCACTTTTTGTTTTAAGGCGTTTTTCGTATTACTTTATTGTGACTTATCTTAATGATTTGGAGTAAAAGCGTCTTTATGCTAAAAATGACATTTTTCAACACAGAGTCCACATAACTATCACGGCGTCCCGTCCAGTTCCCGTCACTACTAAAAACGTGTCACTGTTGCTCACAACATATGCCGGTTTCCCCATTAAACTCCATAACGACACTAGTGATATCTGCCGAACTATTTGAGTTTTAAGCGTGGGATTTTTACAGCATGCACTTTTCGCGGAGCTCTGATTGATGGCGTTGTTAACTCAATTTCTGCCAATTTCGTATAGTGACGGTTTGATTATGAACGTGCGTTATCTTTATACTATTTTATCTACCAAGTACATAGTAGGTAGTGTAGGAAAATTATATACTAGTAAGATCCTAGTACTACACTTTATTTACTTTGTATAGACGACAGCATATCACTGGCATCTTATTTAGTTGTATTAGATGCCATTTTCCAACAAAAAATCTTAGTTTCTATCTAGAATAAGGTTTGGCACGTAAAACCTTGCACACAGCTCTTACGTCGTCCGCATAAATGTAAAAATCGACCTGAATGTGTCATGTTTGACGTGCGTTATCTCCTAGAGCAAAAACATTCTATGAAGTAGGTACCACTAACTATTACATACTTGTGTTGGTTAGGTTACTTGCTATTACAACGCCAGCTATGCTTACGGCTTCGATTCCTCGTGGGACTGATGTTAGTGCGATGAGCACAAGCTTTCCTTGGGTCTAGGTAATTAAATAATATACTTCCTCAAAGGCAAAGCAATATACAAAACCCCTTTTCTGGGAAAAAATGCACTTGGATCATTTTATTGCAGTGGAAATTTTGAATATCGCATCATTACTTGAGTTACTCGTAATCAAGTCCCAATTGATGTGACTGAGCGATGAGTAAACTGTACTATATCGTCATAGTTATTTAAAAGAATCGAAGTTCTAGACGTTCGAAGTCGAAGTCTGAAGTTCGAGACAGGTGACAATAAATGATTAGGATTTGCTGACGCACGTCTCACCTCAGCTACCTTTTCTGTGTTTGCCGATGAATTACAATGTGTACATAATTCTAATATTGTAAGACTTGTTATTCCCAGTCAAGGACAGCTTATCGAATTCATAGATTCCGTCGTAGGCATGTTATTTTTACGTACGTGCCTTAAACGCATGAATTTCCATACCGTAACGGGAGTAAACTTAGCTATAAAGTATTACTAACGATTGCACGGTACTCTGCTCGCCTATTGTATTCAAGGATAGGTAAACTTTTCTACATACAATATTCTATACTTAATACTATGGATGTAAGGGATAGGTTCCCAAAACTCAATAAACTTTTTTTATCATTTTCCTGGAAATGACAGACGACTGGATTTTGTCTATTCCCTCTTTTTTCACTCAGTACGTAATATTATAATCTTAGCATTATCAAACTTAATAATAACACTAGGTACTTAGGTAAAGAGTTCAGATATTATGCCCATAGTAGCGCCCTTCAGTCAATGTCATAGCTGGAACTGTTCAGTATTGGACAACTATACACACTTAAGACAAAGCATGAGACTGACATTAGTGACTCTACTGCAGTATTTCAATTCAGTTTATTAACCATTATGGAGATGAACTTCAATTAGAATGACCTTTGCTCTGCATTCAACACCAAGTTAAACTAATAATTGATCATATCGAAATATGCTATCTTGCAGACGATTTATTGTCACTAAAAGATAGTTTATTGATTCATAATAATTACATGAATATTGAATATGTTTCGTTTATTGAACAAGAAGAAATTAATAAAGATACAGCTTGTTGGAAACCAAGTGGACCTTTGTTGTCTATGTTTTATATCTTTTTTATTTGTTGTTATTTCTTGTGTGATTTTGAGCTAGTCGCGCATTTTGGTTAAATAACTAACTTATTTTAATGCATTAATTTTCCTTATTTTTTTTGCAGCAGGCCTTCTGTTCGCACTATAGCTCTTATTATTTTGTTTTTATTTAAGTTATTCATTTACCTACAGACATAATATAGTGCAAAATCGTGAGGCAATTCACTTAATTATTTTACCTGGACTTCTTGTCCAATTTAATTAAAACGAGAGGGTAAAGTACGGTTCATGACTGAAATAAATTATTTATAAATTCAGTGAACATCTCAGAATCGCACCACAATATACAGTCAACCATGAACCAAAAGTGTTGCAATTAGGGATTGCAAATATTCGATAGATTTCTATTTCGAATATTCGAATATTTTTTCAGTGATATTCGAATATTATTCGAATATTCGAATACTTTAAAAAAAAAAAAGTACTTAAATTATCAATGTTTTATTGCTGGTTTTATTGCTTTAGGAACTATATTTTAACTATTTAACAATATACTTTTTAAAACAGTTATAAAATTCTCATCATCATCATAATTTCAGCCATAGGACGACCACTGCTGAACATAGGCCTCTCCCAATGACTTCCATAATGACTGGTTGGCAGCGGCCTGTATCCAGCGCCTTCCCGCTACCTATATGAGGTATTCGGTTAACCTTTGTGGGTGGACGTCTCACGCTGCGCTTTTTGGTACGTGGCCTCCACTCCAGAACCATGCTGCCCCATCGGCCATCATTTTAGCGTACTATGTGATCAGCCATTGCCATTTCAGCTTGCTAATCCGTCGGGCTATGTCAGCGACTTTAGTTCGTTTACGGATCTCCTCATTTCTGATTCTGTCTCGTAAAGAAACACTGAGCATAGCCTTCCCCATAGCACGCTGTGCAATTTTGAGCTTATTTATAAGGCCTATTGTAAGAGGCCACGTTTCCGAGCCGTGTGCCATCACTGGTAGAGGTAACACACACTGATTGAAGAATTTCGTCTTTAGGCACTGAGGTATTTTGGACGAAAAGATGTTGTACAGTTTCCCGAACGCTGCCCAGCCGAGTTGGATTCGACGATTTACCTTTTTCTCGAAATTTAATCTACCTAGCCGAATCGTTTATCAGAGGAAGACATACTTGTCAACAGTCTCGAGAATCGAGCTCCAACCGAAACATGGACGTCGGACCTAAGCTTCGTTTTATCCACGTACATCCGATGGCCTGCCTGTTGAGAGACTCGATTAAGGTCTTCGAGCATTGTGCCGAGGTCTTCAAGCGATTCTGCCATGACCACAATATCGTCAGCAAACCGAAGCTGAGTGATGTATTCGCTATTGAAAGGTAATTATGCCTAATCCTTTCCATTCAAGGAGCTTGAAAGCGTCTTCCAATGCAGCGGTCAACGGTTTCGGAGATATAACATCTCTCTGCCTCACGCCTCGCTGCAGAGGAATTGCCCTCGTGCTCTGCTCCTGTACTCGGCTCGACATGGTAGCGTTTTTGTACAGGCATTTCAGCATCTCGATATACCGATAGTCAATACGGCACCGCTGAAGAGACTGCAGCACTGCCTAAGTATCGATCGAATTAAAGGCCTTCTCATAGTCCAAGAAAAGCATCACCACGCTTCTATCCGATGCCTCTGGCGTTGTTACTTAGAGTAAGACGGGACGAGTTTCGGTGTTCCACCCGCGTTCAGAAGCTCCCAGGTTATTCCGTCATCACCCGGTGCCTTGTTGTTCTTTAGCTGTTTGAGAGCCTTCCTAATCTCGTATAGGCTGATATACAGGATGTCTTTGGTATAGTGTCGCGTTAACCTAGCACTTGCATCTGTTGTTGAGTTATTAACAGGTTTGGAAGTATGTAGCTGTCCATAAATCTTTTCGATCTCACCCAGAACCTCGGCTTTTGTTGACATTACCGTCCGCCGTCTTCAGCATCGTTAGCTGACTTTGCTCAATAAAGTTGTCTCTTTCAGGTAATTTGGACCTTTGTTTGAACCTTGGTTTCGCAAGACAACTTAGTGTTCACCATTGAATTCGGAAGCATCAATGACTAGTTCTTTTAGTTGGTGATATGTATTTGATGCCTCCGACCACATTTGCAAACACTAAGTTGTCTTCGTTCTATCTTTTCTGTTTATTTTTGTAATATTCGAATATTCGAATACATGTTAATTTACTATTCGAATATTAAATTTGGAATCTAAATTCGAATATTCGAATATTCGATTGCAACCTCTAGTTGCAATATCAAGAGGGTATATTTGCTTCAATGATTCGAAGAAAGTACCTACAGACGACTGCAAGTAAAGTTGAACACTGGCATCTTATGCAGTCGTAATAGGGTCGATTTTTCAATAAACGGGTGAGATGAGTTTCCTGTACAATTTACTTTTAATAACTAAGCGATTAAACCCAAAGTGATCGACCATAATATTATTCATAGCGGACTGTACGGTTTATGAAGCTAAACACAGCATCTTAGGTCGTTGTAATATAGTCTATTTTGCAACAAAAATGAATAATCTGATGTGCTATTGACTGTACATAACATAATTACCTGCCACACGGCACGGGCGGACAATCGCGGTGACTTGTAATAAATAATAATGGGATAGTTAATGAACTTAGCATTGAAATTGTAAGCTGACCAAGCCTATTAGGGCCGAGCTGTCTTTCGAGGACGTTCGAGTACGAGGTAACAATCGGAATAACGAAATATGAATTGTCATATTTTGTTTATGGTTAGCGAAAAATTTAAAATCTTTCTAGCAACTATTTACGTGCGGCGATCTAGTTTTGATACCAGATATAAAGGAGTAGAAAGAGAGTTGTTAAACGGCATATTGTAATTATTGCAAATCATTTGAAACCATATAAAACTGACAAATGAGAGAAATACTCATTTCTATCTTAACGCTACTACCCAGCTACCTAATAAAACTGGATTAGTTTATTTTCACATATTTATTGCCACATGTAATTCGTAGATACTATCGTCAATTTGCTTCATTTACACTTCCGTGTTTAAAACCATTCTTAGCTATAAGTATGTCATCATTGTATGGGAGAAAACTCATTATATCCCATATTTCCATTGCAGGTTCACGAACTACCACCAGAGAAGCTAAAGATTCGCGAAGTGGTCAACATCGACATCGCGAATGACCCGCTCTCGTCCGCGGATTACAAGCCCGAGACCGACCCGACCAAGTTCAAGTCGGCCAAGACGGGCCGCGGGCCGTTGGTCGGGCCCAACTGGAAGAACGAGGCCAGTACCTCTAGTAGGAAAAACTTTCGAGTTCGTTTCGTTGCGTATTCAAAGTGTCATCGAAAAATTTTGTATGAAAAATTAAACAGCGCCCCCTATATTATAGCCGCCCTAGGGGGCGCTGTTTAATTTTTCATACAAAATTTTTCGATGACACTTTGAATACGCAACGAAACGAACTCGAAAGTTTTTCGTACTAGAGGTACAGGTGAGAACACTTCTGTCGTGTCGCTTGCGACAACTGAGCTCACTGGCTCAAGTCCCTAAGACCGGCCGCGGGCCGCTGGTCGGGCCCAATTGCAAGAACGAGGCCAAGCCCGTCATGACCTGCTACAAGCTCGTCACGGCCGAGTTCAAGTGGTTCGGACTCCAGGTAAGAACGATCACTTCTGCTGATGCGTCAGTTGTAGTCTTATCTGGCCACTGAGCTCACAATCTGTTCTACGACACTGGACTTATAGTTTAAGTTCGCGAAGACCAAGTCACCCATGACCTGCTATAAACTGGTCACAGCCGTGGTCTATATGCAAGATCTTTGCCGTGTCAGTTATAAACAACTGACAACGTACCTTATCACGTAGCAACCCATATCAGATTTAATAGTTGATGTCCACAAAGACCAAGTGGCTTACGACCGTCTAGAAGCTGGAAATCTTCACAACAAGCTGGAATTAATTGCATCTTATAAACAGGTGCTATTTTCTAACCATTTGTCGTCAAAATTGTACTATTTCCGATTGAACGCAATCTTTCCAAAGTATGGCTGTGCCCCAGTACGATGTTAATTGTCACTTTGTCAATCAAGTATTGCAAATGACTGGCACGTCAAGAAAACAATGAAAAAAAAAATATATCGATACAATGAGGAGTACAATTTGCATGAAAATATGCTATTTCTCAGTGTGTCAGATCAGTGTCATTGCCGAGTTACAAAGTTCACAAATATGTAGTTGTAACTACACGGTATTTATGAATGTACAAAATCTTTTTCTCTTTGTTCACAGAGTAAAGTAGAAAATGTCATCCAAAAATCAGAACGGCGGTTGTTCACCATTTTCCACAGGTAAAAAAACACATTTACATTTTATGCATGGCAAAGTTCATAAAAACATATTTTTAAAAATAATTATTATAATTAACGTAACATGTCCTAAAATGATTTTAACGACAGAATGACGAGAGTTTACTGATTCAACATGTTTATAATAAAATTTACACGTAGCGAGCTTCGTGCGCGCTTCATTTTAATTGTAAGGTCCATCGTCATTTTATTACCCTTCAATCCCAATTCTACTATGTATATGCAGAATACAGTACAATCCAGATTATTTTCCCCTTGCGCAAGCGCATTACTTCGCTTTTAAAGTAATCATCTTCATCAGTCAATTTAGTCTCGCACGCAGAAGCACGACCAGAGACATAGAGATGCCAACTAATGAGTTGAGTTCAAAACTCAGTATCGCATTAGAAATTCACACACACAAAGTAATCAAAATATCGCACCCGCCCCGGTGCGACACTGTCACTTATGCAAATATGTAGTTTTTCTAGAGAAACATTTAAAAATTTACACCTCACCTCACCTCATGCGTACTACAAAAGTAACGTTATCGCTCCAAGTAAATAGGTGCTCTAGGATCATTATTGGATATTTAACTAAATTTTTTGCAAAAGTGACAGTTTCGCACCGGGGGTGCGATATGTGCTCATTATCCACTGCAGTATCAGTACTCGTTCGAATAATCTTTATTACTAAGAAGTAAACTGTTTACATTATGACATCGCTGCTGTCATCATTGCTGTCATGAGCAATGTGTTCTGTTTTTGGGCATATTGCTGCGACACCGGCCCCGCCCCCTTGTCATATCTTCCTTTAGTTTCTGTGATCTGTGAGCACTGCCTCTAATTTACAAATTACTCTACAAAATCTGTCATTTATTCAAAATCAAAATTATCTTTATTTGTATAGACTAATTAAATTAGTACTTACAAATCGTCAAATGCTCTTAAGGAGCCTATACATGTCTCATTCTTTATTTGCCCTACAAACATTTGGCAAGTGCTGAGAAGAAGCGCCGCATCAAACTCAGTCACCACTGTCTGCCGGTTTATTTATAATACTCTCGTATTTTTTTCCAGGCAAGTGTTCTGCTCTATGGACGACTGGTACGGCATGACGATGGCCGACATCCGAGCCATCGAGGACCGCACGAAGGAGGAACTGGAACGACTGCGGCGCGAGGGCGAGGTTCGTGGGATGCGCGCCGAGAACGAGTAAACACCGCGCTCTCCCCTCGGGACGAATGTGTGAACGGTACGAGCCCTGCAGAACGTTGTTTGATTGTTACACTTTTACTCTTAGGCCCAGAATTAGGCCCGGTGAAACGCAACTGGAACGAAACTGCAACTTTCTGATTTTATTTATTTATTATTCATTATTGAGCAATTACATATTTGCTCCAAATAGCGTCCCAAATCCTCTTTAGGTTTGGCTAGACACTATTGTTCTCTATACAAATAAAAACAAATGTTTTATTATTTACGTATGATGATTCTGATGAATGAAACTGAAACTGAAAGTTTCAAACTGGTCGCGTCATGTATTGTGTGGTCTCTCAACGGACGCTATGGCAGAAACTTAGATGCAACTCAAAAGTAACTAGCAGTTGCAGTTTCGTTGCAGTTGCGTTTCACCGTCTGTTCTGGACCTTAAGGTCTTTAAGAGCGGTACGGAACGTGGATCTCTTCACTGTCGCTAAGATCCTGAGGGCTTAGTGTGAGTTTATATCAAACGTCGTCACTAGCGAGCGTATTAAAAAAATATAAAATATGAAGATTTTAGTTCTTGAACGTTTCCGCTAGGGGCGCTGTACGATCCGTCATACATTTAATGTCACTTTTTTACGCAGTCGACATCGGATGCGTTTGACGTAAACTCCACACTACGCCCCCTTAGCTAGAATACGGATATCACGTCGCTTACAGCGTAAAGGATAGATTAAAGAAAAGGTATACCTTTTTCAGTGATAGAAAAGATTCGGACGCGTATTCAGAATTGGTACTGTTTGTCATATTATTTTGAAATAATAGACAAAGTTTTGCATCGAGTTGTGAGGTTTTCTGAAGTGTAATTTGATGAGCCATATAAATTTAAAAAATCTACTAATTTGGCAAGTGGATAAAAGTTTAACTACTGATGTTTGTTATTATTATTTTTCTGAGAATCTNTTGGCTCAAGTCCCTAAGACCGGCCGCGGGCCCCTGGTCGGGCCCAACTGGTAGAACGAGGCCAAGCCCGTCATGACCTGCTACAAGCTCGTCACGGCCGAGTTCAAGTGGTTCGGACTCCAGTGTGCTTACCATGAGTTTACGTTAGGTGTGCTCGCTAGCGACTACGTAAAAAAATGACATTAATTGTATGACATATTGTGCAGCGCCCCTAGCGGCTACTTTCAAGAAACAAAATCTTCATAGAGATTTTTGACGTACTCGCTAGCGAGCACACCTAACGTAAACTCATGGTAGGTGCACAGGTGAGAACATTTCTGTGGTGTCGCTTGCGANATAGATTAAAGAAAAGGTATACCTTTTTCAGTGATAGAAAAGATTTGGACGCGTATTCAGAATTGGTACTGTTTGTCATATTATTTTGAAATAATGGCCAAAGTTTTGCATCGAGTTGTGAGGTTTTCTGAAGTGTAATTTGATGAGCCATATAAATTTAAAAAATCTACTAATTTGGCAAGTGGATAAAAGTTTAACTACTGATGTTTGTTATTATTATTTTTCTGAGAATCTACAGTCAAGAGATCGATACGAAGTTTCAGCTCGGGAGAAGGGCCTTTTTGCAATGAGAAAAAAGTATACGTTCACATTTTTGTCCTGTACCCAATGAGTTGTGCGCATACGTCGCATAGGTTGAGTCATGGGCGTAACTAGAAATTTAGTTGAATTCTGTCTTCCTTAAAATAAATAACGTGAGCAAGATTATTAATATTATATAGAAAAATATGACCTATGTCTGGGATATATTGGTTGGTGAAATTTTGCTTCAATTGTCGTCATATTATGTCTCATTTATAGACAAAGTCAGCTATATCTGACGGTGATTCCGTATTCGGGTGTATCTATAAATCTCGGTTTAGGTGAGAGACAAATCTTAAAATAAGGATGTTGTATGAATTAGTACAGGTTGAAAAAAATATGAAATTGATCTGTCTAGTTACGCTTCTGTCTTAACCTAGGCAGGCGTGCGCACGAGTGTAGGCGCGCTTACAATAGTTGTTTAGCATCCACTAACAAATACTTAACCGCAAGTGGCATTTTTTACCTTCTCTATAACCCTGTAATAATAGTAGTGCTGGCTTTATTTAATCGGCATTATAAATCGACAATAGCAACGATTGTACAGCAATAATAAAACTTAACAAATAATGCCTCTTGCGATTATTTCAAGGAATTTTCCTTTCAAGTGTTTGTCGATGAAGTAATGGTGCGTATTCACCGAGAGCATTTATGTGTAACGAACATTCCCTTGTAGCATAAAAAATACTGCAATGCCAGACTTATCAATCAATAAAATAGTTATTATCACGTTTCAAGTTCATACAATCTATATTCGGCTCGTGTTGGCGTTTGTTCGCGAACCAATGCTCTTAGTGAATGTGAACCTTAATTATTATTAGAAGTGGCGCGCCCCACTCGCAACTCTCACGCTCATACAATGCCCGAGCCTCTGTCGCCTAGCGATTCCACGAGGCGACACTACGAAAGTAAATAATCTCTTGTATCCTAGGTAATGAAATAACATTGTGCTATTTAATTGATAGTTTTGATATCGTAGACGTTCGTTCGAATTTCATTATTTATCTTCGTAGTAGATTGACAAGACTGCAGGCAGTCTATTGCTCATAGTTTCGTGTTACTTGTTAATTGGTTAATGTGTCTAAATTTGATATAGCTCGTCTATGTTGTAATGTAAAAACTTTGATTTATATAATGATATTTCGTACCAAAGCGATAGCTTAGTTGAATGGGCAAGTCATCTAGCGAGGATGAGGTGAGGGCATCGTTTACCATTAGCAAAATATGTCATTCAGATGTGTGGTATAGATACTATTTAAATAAATAACTAATAAGTCGATGTAGTCAGTGGTTTACAGGTAGTGTTGTCGTTACCTAAATAAAAGTAATTCGAAACATTTTGACAACTACTCATTATCAACGAGAATCAGTGAAAATATCAATGGCGTCTCCATGGCCAGATTGAAGCTTCACTGTTTGATATTACTTCGTTCTGTTAGGTAAATATCCTGTGTAGTGCAGGGGTTTTTTGGCTGTTGTGTATTTATATTATAAATAAACACTTACTATAAGTATTTTGCGCAATAGTAACTTAGTTCTGGCACGGTGTTACAAGGAATAAAAATTAACGGTGCAATATATTTTTAACATGGCAACCCGCGAAATGTGAAATGGTAGTTGGGGTTATCGTCCCGGGTGTTGCAAGGTGAATGTTCTACTAACGTATGGCGGTGGGATGGTGGTTTATGTCATTAACACGGTTATATTTATTCCTATTATTATGGAGCTTAGGTTCAAATTGCAACACCCTCGAAAGTGATTGCATGTATATTCTATTAATAAGTTTTGTTGTTTAACAAATCAGTATTTTAATATGTGTGACATTCCAGATTCTATACCGATGATAAAGTTTTTAGTCTGATTTGCTACTTGATCTAATTTTCTATTAATTTTATAGCTCTCTGTGTGGTACCCGATATGTTATGCAGCTGTGCATACAAAATCAAGTTATATTTTACATATGATCAGTACAATGTATGTTATCAAATTAGTTTTATGTGAGTTTTCACTTTCTCAACAATGAAGTCAGTTGTGTTTATCGATGTTCCTTCATTTCAACCGTTGTACAACTCTGACCGAGCGTGTTTTGTATAATGCTTCCGTTGGCTTGTACGGAACCCCGGTGGATGCCGGAGCCAACGGAACCCCGATCCTTCGGTGGGTGCCGTTGTCCGCTTGGGTTTCGAACAAGTAGGTATCTATTATTTTGCTTAATTATGCACTTATTTTGTTTTTAAGTTTTTTNAAACAAAATATCACAGCAATATGATAACAATCGGCGAAGTAAAGTCATAGTGGTCCAACTTACATTTTCATCTTTTTGAGAACTGAAGGCTCAAATACCCGTGCTGTGTCTGATCACCAAACAACTGCAGAATTGCAGTTGCACTACTGCAATACTTGCCCTGTACAGCTACTATGCAAACATTATAACTGCATTGTTGCAGTTTTAGCTGCGAGTATAAATACTGTAAGCCTAGGCGCAGGCCACCGATTTTTCGTCGGCCGATGGTTGGGTCGGGCTGTTGATCAGTATGGAGATGTATGAAAGTGCGCACATTACACCGATTTGGTATCGGCCGATTCTTCATACAAATTAGAATCGGGTCCAACCATCGGCCAACTAAAAATCTTAAACCACTATGATTCTAAACTCGCCAATTTGATGGGCTACGTGCAACCATACAGGACCAAGTTCCTACCAAGACTAGCGTACAACTTACACTCTAAATTATTCTAACAAGAACAACACTTCCACATTCTTAATTCTAGATAATTAATAAATAAAAATATCCAACAAAACATGTTGATAAATAACTATCCATACATTATGTACTCATTTATTCTTGTAACATTCTGTTTCTTGTAGCTCTTATAGGTTGCACAGCATACCTATGATAATACTCTTTATCGTGAGCCAACAACCCCACCCTAATACATATTTGATGTGTTTACTCAATAAATACCTATGTTTTTTGTCTACCTCACATTTAGATTTGTACATTTCCAATGGTTCCATCATTATAAACTGACTGGTTTATCTACACAAAAAAACGAAACATTATTTATAGATTAAATTGGATTATTGTGTACTGCCATAACAATAAAATTTAAATTGATAAAACTCAGTTCTGTTATGCTTCAGAGTCAACAAGTCTAAAATGTGTGAATACTCCCTAATTAAGCTCATACTTCTCTAATAACCTGAACCTATCTTTTGCATTAGAATCACCAGTCATATTCGAATTTACACCAATCATATAGGAATTTCTACACAATCTAATTTGTGAATTTGCACAGGTTTCATAGAAATTCTAATGGTTTACAGATACTTATCTCCAATAGATGGAATTGTTTTTGTCAATAAAAAATCTGAATACAAACATATTATTATCAAAGTGATAGTAAGTCTATTAAGAATCTGTATAAAATGTTTACAGTGTAGTGCAATGTAAAGACACTGCTGTTTTTATTTATCACTGGAGACTTATGGCACTTTAGAAACCTCATGTGTTTGATATTTAATAAAAGGGACTCCTAAGAACAGGATAAATTAGCACGAGTCGTTCCCCGACCGATAAGTTCCATTATTAGAAATACTTTAAAAAATTGACTCTTACTTAGAAGATCATGGAACAATGTAAGCTGCAAGCTAAAAATAATTTACTCCTTAGTTTCATGGTTTTCGAATTTTTTAATGGCTGCTACAGGGCTTGGTGGCAGGCTAAGAGCGGGCGAAACTAAATACTGGCAAAGATATAATAATAGCTGATAGGTTCAATCATCAACTTCAAGTTCAAGCTCAATGTCAGCTAGGCTGATGCGTCTAAGCGTGTTGATCACCATATACCGGGAGAACGCGACGTAAAGATACCGGAACCAGACCATCTGCGACCGGTGGCGTTTCATAGCGCGCACCACCCGCCTGCTCTCAGTCCAGCGAAGGAAGTACCTTTAAATGTGAAGTTGGTGTATTACAAGTCAATACAATAGCAGTAAAATGAGGACTTAAATGGTATGTGAAGTGCCTTTACAACTAACTGCCTTGACCTGAATTTGAATCTGGTTTCACTTCTTTTGATATTCAACATTTAGGTTGAGTTGCACCATCTTACTTTAAAAACATAAAAAATCTGGTTAAATCCATACAAAAGATACTGGTAATAATAACCAAATATAGTTAAGGTTAAAGTCAGGTGATGCAACTCCGTCGTGTGGTGACGGCAGAGTAGAATACATTTGTCGCCAACCCCTACTCTTCCCGCGGGTGTCGTAAGAGGCGACTTAGGGACTGCACAACAAACAGAGAATGGGCAGCAGCGCTCTCTGAAAAACATCAATCTTTTAAACTGCGATCTCCAACCCGCCTGCCAAGCGTGGAGATTATGGCAAATCCCTCCACCATAGTGGAGGAGGCTCATAGTCCAGCAGTGGACTGTAAAGGGCTGTTGATGATGATGATGATGCAACTCAGCCCTAATAACTGAAAAATAGCTTAAAGTACAGTAGAACGCCGATTATCCGAATTAATTGGGACCGGGGTCGATTCGGATAATCGGACATAAGACTGGTAATAGACATAAACGAACTGTCACACATAGAATAAACTTTAATTAGTATAACAAACAGATATAGGTAGTTCACTTGGCGTTATTGTAGAACTGCTACAATAACGCTTAGTTGAAATATATCTGAATTCCATAAAAAAAAATCAAAAATTACTTTTTATATTACGCTTAGGACCGATTCGGATAATTGGCGATTCGGTTAATCGGCGTTCGGATAATCGGCGTTCTACTGTATTAAAGCTTAGTTCTTACCTTTTGGAAGACAGTACAAAGCTAAGCGGGAGGTCTAGAAACCCAAAATACTTTCTCATTATATTTACAGAATCTAATGTGTATACAATGCACCCTGAAAAGAAAGAAAAAGAGAAGTTTAGAAATTATTATTACGTTTTACACATGATACACAGATTAGAGATGAAACGGATATCCGGTAACTATCCGGTAGGCCGGATATCCGGCCTAAATTTACTATCCGGCCGGATACCGGATAGTAACTCACTATCCGGCCGGATACCGGATATTAAAAAGCTACGACAATTTCCTATTAATAAAATGAAATACATTAATCTTTGAGGTAAATATCAATAAAATGGCTTACAATAATGACGGCTTTTATTTAAAGTCCAAAAAGTTACAAAAAGCCGTATTTAAGGCCTTTCAAAACTAATTTCTTTTTCTGGGCTATTCACTCTAATGACGAATACATATTATAATAAATATCTGTTAATGTCGAAATATTGCCAAATAAATGCGATTTTTTTTTTCACTGATGGTCTGATGACATGATGCAACTAATTAAATTTTCGCTATTCAATCACACACTCACGATTGCAACCGAAATTGAATTGATCTGCCCCCTAGATAAGTGGCAAAATCGCCCGAATTGATCTGCCCCCTAGACAAGTGGCAAAATCTGACATTCTATTCTGACGGATTCGATTTTCGAAAAGTGTGACTGTGACTGACTGTGTGTGTAGTCTAGTCTACTAATAGACCCATTGATCGCGTTGGAAGCACCTGCGCGGCGCTATACTCGTCACAACATTCAACGAGACAATGGTCCAACTATCCGGCCGCCGGATATCCGGCTATCCGGCCTAGCAGCTGGCCGGATATCCGGTATCCGGTATCCGGCCAAACAACTATCCGTTTCATCTCTAACACAGATCATGGCTTTTTATATACTTACTCTTAGGCATAATTTTTTCAACAAACATATATGCAACAGCATAGAAAATGGCTGAATGGTTTGGATGTGAAGACACTCCGCCACGGTCAAACGTAAGGAGGGTGTCTATATCTAGTGCTTCTAATTTGTGCTGAATCAATTTAGCTATAACTGGCGCAGGCCACTGTGCCTTAGGATTGTCTGGAAGTCTCGTGTCATTGATCAGATCAATATTTTGTTCTGGCACACCTAGCTCAAGACATGCACTCCACAGTTCTTTCCGACGTATATTGCCTTTTCCATCATAATTTCCTAGAAATGACAAGAATAGAATTAGTAATTTAAGAATATGGTCAGAAGGGTCTATTAGTTGTGTTACAAAGAGAAAAATATTAAATTTACCATGAGATAAACAAAGCAGGTAGACATCAACACCCTGCTCACATAATCTGAATATAGTGGGCCCAAAAAACATGCATTCATCGTCAGGGTGCGCTATTACTATGAGCACTCTCTTTGCTCGCAGGGCGCCACGCGCTCTCGTCGGCAGGCGCCTCGCATACCGCCGGTACACCACACAACACACTATCAAGTACCCAACCACCCATAAGCTTATGTATAACGCAAAATTTCGAAAATACAACCAAGTCTCAGCCACAAATTTAATATAAATGCTGTAGAAAAATTCAAAATCGTAAAATGAACTATTAAATACCATTTCTGACTAGAAAGTAAGAAACTATTATTTGATACTATAGCTGAATAAGTTTCTTCATTTGTTACGACACTTTTTGTATATCTTATCTTATTTACAGCATTATAATTTAATAAAATAGAAACACTATCTGGTATTTGGTACCATTTTTGACGTTCTAATGAATGACAGACGGACAGAATGACATGGATGGTACTCTATAGTCTATGGTTCAAGAATAATTTACTCCAAAGATCATATAAATCTTAATTGAGTTGGTTAGAGTCTAGATAGAGATAAAAAAAATATTGTAGATGGCGCTGCTTTACCGATTTTACATGAAGTGTATAGCCATATTATTTTGGCTAGGCGTTAGTTGATAACTAAAACACCTTACCGCAAGCCGCGCGCTCCAATTCACAATGTTCTTCTACCTGAGATAAAAAATTGGGCCGCACTGTACATTGGTACGAACAGTACGTACGATACGATAATTAAATGTATTGTCTATGCTACACGTCGTATATGTTGTCTATCTCACTCACTCCTTCATTAGTTCATTCCAGCCAGTTCATTCATTCATCAGTTTTTGGAGTTCTTTTGTGATTGTTGTGAATTTATTGAATATTTTGGTTTTGGTGAAGAAAATAGATACAAAAATGATTCAACCGGACTTATCAGCCACTATGGGATTATTAGCTCACTTAAATTCAGATGAACTTAAAGAAATGTTAAATGATGACACCAAATTTGATTCAGTCCTGAAGGATGTGAAACAGGTACTCTAATTCAATATATTACTAATAAACTTCATTGTAAAATCCTTGCAAAGCATATAATTAACATGTTAAGTTACTCCTAATTGCGTTTGAAATAAAATTTCTGATATTATTTCGGAGGTTGATGACTCATTAACACAACTCAAATTACACAAACAAGGTTTACCCAGTTTTGCTCAATCAATAGTTCAATTTTAATACGCAATAAATTGTCTTTTTTAGGTAAAGGAATGGGATGTAGAGAAAGAAATGATAATAGCAAGTAACAGATCTCTTGCTGAGTTCAACTTGACCAAAGAACCTGAGCTGGAAGAATTGAAACAACGAGTTCTTGAGAAGTCTGAGGAAGGAGAGCAGTATTGTGTACGAATACAGGAACTTTTAGAGGAGTACAGTAAGTTCTGAATGTGCCTTATCTTGCCAGATGTAAATCATAAAATCCTATGCTATATTTACCAAATAACTCTTTGATTTACAGAAACAAAGTCTGCAGGTATATCAGCTGATACAACGTTGGCCCTACTACAAACATCTGCAGCAGAAATTGAAGAAGAATCTGAGAATATCGCTCAGGATTTCCTATCTCGAAAAATTGATGTTGATAAATTTCTTGAAGACTTCGAACCTATCCGCAAGAAAATGCATCTGAGGAAGTTCAAAGCTGAAAAGATGAGTGAACTCATGAGAACTCCAAATCCAAGTTCATATGGCAATGGATACTCGAAGCCATACTTGCCATACCCTAGCTATGGCCCCCCGTCAGGTCAAAGTGTGCCATATCCAATGGGCCCTCTAAACATGCCAATGCCTGGCATGTATGGAAATCATTTCTGAGTTTTTTTAATGTGTTCTTGATATAAAATGTTCTTAAGTCTAATATTTAAGTCAAGTGAGACTATAATGGTATCAGATTGTAAAGTGATATAGGCTTTGTTGTTAGTATAAAATAAACATAATAGACTAAGAGCTAGTGAACCTGCACTTCATAATTCACCAACATTATATCCTATATTGGGAGCATACGCTGACAAACTTTCAGCTTTTATAAAATGACGTAGGTCTGGCATTCACTAGCTCTTAGTCTGTAACAAAATGAACTGGTTTTAGTTTGTACCATCAGATAACAAAATAAGTAATCATTATCATAAAGACAGATAGATTATTATTTTTATGATATTATTGTTATTAGACAATGTCAATTTGTAACTTTATCCAAATTTAAATGCTTTGTTTTAAATATTGTACATTTTTAAACAGTCCGCTTGATGTTGGTGCTTGAATTAGAAAGAATGTGATTATATAAATAGGAATTCTTAAATGAAAAGATATCTATTGTATTGTAGAAATTCATAGCCAAATTATAGTAATGCACCAACCATAATATGGTAAAAATGACGAGTTATTAAAGGATCTCTTGTAATTCTGATCAATCTATGAATTGTGTAAATATCTGTTTTATTAAATTAATGATTTATTCATTCATACAAGAAGTAGGTAGTTTTAACATTGAGTTATTCAAAGTTATGTCAATGTTTTTATATTCTTTATAAACTATAGGAATATTCTTTATTATTTACTTTTACTTAGAATGATTGTAAAAGAAAAGCAAATGCATACAATAAAGTGATTTAATAATTATGTATTCTCCTTTAATTTATTATCACAATTTATCTACAACTAATATGGAGGTATTTAAAATATTATGTACAATATACATAATACAAAAATAATAATTTACTAAATGAATCACTAAAAAACAACTGATTTCTAAGCAATGATTGAGTGAAGCTGTATTTTTCATTTTGATAAGTCATTTCATCCAATTTGTGCTATTTTAACTTCTGGAGTTAATTAGTTTTATCTGAATTAGTTCTTTTATTTCTCTGTAGTTTGTCCTCATCATAATCTGTGGTGCCATTTACTACAAGTAGAAGGAATAAACCACCAATGGCAAATATACAATACATAACAGCTTCTTGTCTATAGGACTGTGAGATATCTTGTTTCTTTATTTTTATTTTTCTCACTTGTTCTCTTTCATATTGTGCTTTTTTGAACATATTCCCATAGTGCTGTTGAGCCCTGTAAAGATGAATATAGGAAGGAATTAAATGTGTTACCAAATATGTTACTGAGAGAGACAGTATTTTTTTTATTACCAAGCATCAAAATTATAAATGGGGGTTTTTCCATCCATGGTGGGCATAACATGTCGTTTTGCATGGGATTTGTAGAATTTTAGAGTTGGGTCTGTAGGCTCTGGTTCAGGCTGATAATCCATCCTACTGGTATTTTCTTTGCCAACAAGTAAACCTGAAATATTAAAAATGGTTGGGGTGAGCTTTCTAAAAAATAGTTTTAGATATTTTGTTTTAATAATAAAAAATTGTAACCTTTATCATACATTTTCTTAAGTTTTAAATTTCCTAACACTTCATATGCCTCTGTGATTGCTCGAAATTTTTTGGCAGATGCTTCATCCTGTAAATAAATTGAAAATAAACAATTTGATGAAACAAATAATAATAAAGGCATTGCACAGTATGTAGTGACTATTAGGTAAGAGTTGACACACGGAACTCACACAAGATCTATCCGGATGATATATTTTGGAAAGTTCGTAGTAGGCAGTTTTGATGTCTCCTTGCGTAGCCTTCGGGGTAACACCGAGGACGTCATAATGGCTGGCGTAGGCTCTGGGAATTATGCTCAGGGATCGAACTACGTTTAACGCCAGCCTTGTCTTTCCTGAGCATAACATCTGATTGTAAAAGAAACAAAATATTGTTTTACATGTCAACACCAAACAACATCATTAATTAGAAAATTACATGATTGAAAATACCTTTAGTATAGCAATTAAAATTACTGGACAAGGATTACATCTAATAATGTTAAATTTTGATTTTGACGACGGAAAATACCACTATTTTCGTCATTTTAAAATTAGAGGTTTTTCAAGGCAAAAGTCAATACTGTCAAACTCATCTGTGCTGTCAAATTGTGGTCAAAAATGTATGACGTAAGTGACGTTCCATTCGATTAATCAGAGATCACATAATATAGGATTGAGCCCTCCATCACGCAAATCTAGCACGATTTCCGGGCAGTATAACACACTCGCTCGTGCTCGCTCGGGTACGCATTCCGTAAAAAAAGTAATGTCATTTGTTGTTTGTCTGTGTTTTTTTTTTCTTTTTCCTATGTATTACTTTTCTCTATGTTTGTCACTTTTTGCGTGTGTGTGACGTCGTAAAAGTATTTTGCTTTGTGAGCAGATTTGTGAGTCATTCTCGTATAAAATTTAACAACGAATTCGGTTGGAAATTGTCGCATTTACTTATTTTTCACCGTCTTGCAATACCAATAACGCGTAAGTGTATTTTGCTGTCTTGGTAAAGTCATTAAACGGATTTAGGGGACATGTGTGGAGTGTGTTACTGTACAGTAGAAAAAGACAACCTTTTATGGAAGTCTGCTTGTGTTGTGACACCGTGCGCCCTGCCCTAGATAACTAACGCCTAAAAGCGTAAATTTCTGTTGCTCAGGCATGACTCATGGCCATTAGTGAGCGTATGTGATGAAAAGTTCGTTGTCGGGGAAGGCTCATCAAATTTATTTATAATCTTGATCGTGTACCAGTAGTATTCTTTGGAATATTGTCGTGCGTGAACATCATTCATCGTTAGTAAGGTATTCTTCGTATGAAATAAAACACAAAGTCACTCCATTTCAGCTGTGGTTTATGCTAATTTTCTGTACAGGATCATTGTTAACTTATCTTTTCTTATTTTGTGTAGTGTTTTAATGAGTTAATTAAAGTCATAACACAAGTGACAAGTGTAGACCTAAATACAGTGCTTCATGCAACTGCATGTCACTATTTTAGTCCTATGCTGCAGTTACTCAAACTTATTTTAATGTATCTCATCTCTATAATTAGTACACACAAATGACTAATCACAGGATGTGAACAATTCAAAAACAATGCATTAGATCTAAATAAACCTTATACCTACAAAAAAAGTCTCCACCTGTGCTAAAAACTCTGACTGTGGCAGCCTCTAATTAAGACAATCACTTACTACTTAGGACTTCTAGTTATAATAATTCATCTGCTTAGTAAATATTTAGAAATCTTGTACTATTCCAAACGACAAATTCTTATACAAAAATTGTTATTTTCCAGAATCATGTCGTCCCGTAAAACAGCTGGTCGCCGTGGCACTAACAAGAAGCGCGCCCAGCGTGCCACCTCCAATGTGTTTGCTATGTTCGACCAGGCCCAGATAGCAGAGTTCAAGGAGGCCTTCAACATGATTGACCAGAACCGAGACGGTTTCGTTGATAAAGATGACCTGCATGATATGCTGGCATCCCTTGGTGAGTTGACAGCTGCAGCAGATCCCATACATTTGTATTGAAAATTAAAGCTTACTACAACTTCACAAGATTGTGGTGCCGTTCGTTCTATTAAAAAAGGTTTAACTCATAGGGGTACCTACCACACAGGTACTAGAGTTACATATCCCTGTTAAACGCTATAAAACTTATGCTTTAACTTTTATTAAGAACTAGCGGCCGCCCGCGACTTTGTACGCATGGACCCCGTTTTAACCCCTTAAGGGTTGAATTTTGCAAAATCCCGTCTAAGTGAGCAAATTTGACACTCCTAGTACTTGTAGTTTCATGATGAGTGAATGGATCAGTCTCACAGTCTGTCAATCAGTCAGTAACTGATACTAATTAGGAAATTTAAAATACCTGTCCCAATTTTTCCAATTCCTATCTTTATAAAAATTGCGTTTCTTATTACAGGTAAGAACCCAACTGAGGATTACTTGGAGGGTATGATGAACGAAGCCCCTGGCCCAATCAACTTCACTATGTTCCTCACCTTGTTCGGTGAACGACTCCAGGGAACTGACCCTGAAGATGTTATCAAGAATGCTTTTGGGTAAGTTTTGTTTTATCTTACCACTTTTATTTTAGAATTCCATTTAACATTGACTATTCATGTCCAAACAGCAATCTAATGTACAGTCAGAAGGACAAAAACAACATAATTAATTCCTCTGTAATGAGGTCTAAATTCAATTGTTAAGTCGGCGAATTATTTATACAACATTCTACTTGCAGTTGTTTCGATGAAGAAAACATGGGTGTCATCAACGAGGAGCGACTCCGTGAGTTGTTGACTACGATGGGTGACCGGTTCACCGACGATGACGTCGACGAGATGCTCCGCGAGGCTCCCATTCGCGACGGACTGTTCGACTATGTGGAGTTCACACGCATACTCAAGCACGGAGCTAAGGATAAGGATGAGCAATAAAGCATCATGACACATCAAATGCCACCAGTCGCTTGGTAACCGTTTTTCTTTTTGCGTAACTTGAGGAGACCCAACCATGGACTGAGCGCTGCTACTTAAATCACCAGCATGTTTTCATAGATTTTGATATGTATTTCATCCATGTTAACAATGGTTGATCACCAGTTCATAAGTGATTATCAAGCAATTGGTGAATGCATTATGCAATAATCTGGCTCAGCAGGTTGCATGATACCAGCAGCACAGCTGTTTTGGTATGTTATTCCTGGAATGTCAGGTGTATGATTTGAAAAAGCTAAAATACAAAACATGAAATAAGTGTGATGCGATTTGCAATAAATGTGAATTTGTCAACATCAAGGAATGTACTTTACATAATAATTAGAATAAAATTTGTGTGATTGTAACGTGGCGTGGCATGCAACCTGCTGGTCTGAGCTAATATATTTTAACATTATGTATTTGACAAGCTAATTAAAGAATAAAATTGGTATAAGAAAAAAAATAAGTTAAGGAAGCAAGTTGATTTGATACAGATTTTCGGAATAATCTCAGAGGTGCTAATTTAAAACTTGTTTTTAATGTGGCATTTCTTATGTATTTACTCATGCATTTGTTAAATTATGATTCCATTTTACTGTAAGTATCAATTTGCCATATTGATTTCTTGCGTTTCTCCATTAGTTATTACAAGAAACTATGTGATTGGCAAGAGTATTATGATCATTCCTTGAATCAGTAAAAATGTCTTTTGTTTTAAAATGAAGTATTTTAAGTTTAAAACCGCAATGTTTTGTTAAATATTATATTATGTGTTGTCTATGGTTCATTTAATATAGGTGTTAAATAATTTTTCTCCAATTTTAAACGAACTCCAGATGACAATAGAGTTTACATTAAATTTGTATGTGCCTAGTGTGTGTATCATGTAGCCATGTAATCATGTATGTATTTATTATAAAATTTTATCTCAAATAATGTTTTATTTTATAATAGTTTTTAAATCATTCTCTTCTATTATTTGTTTAGGTGAATAAGAAAGAAGATCCGTAAATGTGCGTACGAAATGACTTAGCGGGAGACTACCGTGCACCTAATTAATTTTGGCATGTTTTAATAGCATGTTAATTATAGCTACGTCAATCGCCTATCTTAATTAGATCGTCACATAAGGAAACGTTAATGTTGGACACGTCAATTCGGTCTATACAGGGTGGAAACGATAAGTGATCTCATTCGATTATTTCTAAACTATACAAGATATCGAAAAACTGATTACTAATCCTGAAAGTACTTCACAAGCTCTATCCAACGGTACCAATATTAGGTTACAGAATTAACTGGATCTATCCGAAAATTTAATGTTTTCAGCCTCCATACTAAATGTATGCCAGTCAAACAATAATAGAAGTGTTAATTTTTTTTTTATTAAATAAAAAACACTTAAAATGAACTCGTAAACTGCATTCTTATTTAAAATTATTCTTGGAAAACATTGGTTTTAGGCTTTACTTGCTATAATATTAACAAGGCATGAGTGCCATGACTGTGGCTGTACTAAATGTATGGAAGCTGGAAACATTGAAATCTCGAATGGATCCAGTTTATTTTGTAACCTACTATTGGCACAGAATANATTCTTCTGATGCCGGATATGCTGACCCAAGCAGACCCATCCTTACAGTATTAAGTGTTTCATGGACTCCACATTGTATTCCACATGCTCGAGAGCTTCTGTTGTTAGGCCCATTTTTTGGGCCATGTGATTCGTTCCATAATGCCCAGTTTGCGTACCTGTAATTGCTTGGGCATACCTTTGAAAAGTTTTCATGACCCTGTATTTAGTACCTAAGCTTTTAGATAAAGGTACTATCAGTTCTGACCCAATAGGTATCGTCTCTGACCCTTGTCTCGCTAGACTGTCGGCTCTCTCATTGCATTCGATCCGTGTATGTCCAGGTATCCCACATTAGGGACACTTTGTCATGCCTTCAGAGTTTGTTCATCTTTAAGATTGCATCTAGAATACCTAATTCTAGACTCAACCTTCACTGAGGCGATGGTTTTGTTTGAGTGCTGCCTGGCTGTGGCTAAGGATGTAAATATTGCGTTTCTTACGCCCCTGTTTTTAATGCACACATAATTAAGTATAGCGTAGAATTCAGCTTGAAATACTGTAGCAAACCTCCTTAAACGTTCACTGTGTTTATTACTACATGCTTGACTATGAACGAGTGCTGTAAGTGCCCACCGACCTAGGCAGTTTTGTATCAGTATATCAAGGGCAGTAATTATGTCCTTATGATTTTTTCAAATTATTTAAAATTTACTTGGTTCAAGGGGTTCGCGTATAGGGACAGTTGCAAGCAACCGACTCAGTCTTTCCTTTACCCGACTGGTTGGGGGTGGACCAGAATCGATAGCAACATGGAGCCTACATGGACCAATTGCCTGTAGCTGCCGAAGCTTGCCTGGAAAGAAGTAGCGCAGAAGCTGGTGCTGTCTGAAAAAACAACTATAATGGTCACAGCCGTAGCCTTTGTGCTAAAAATAATCTCCCGTATTATGATAATATCAATCATCTCTTCCCTCACACTTACCTTTCCGTTATCACTGGTACAATAGTATGTAGAAATAAAAATGTTAATTAAAATAATAATAATAATCATTAGACGTTTAGACAAATTAAAGTTCTTTATTTAGTGCTTTCTTCTTATGAGATTTTCAATAATAAAATGTATTTAAACTATTTTCAACCTTATGTCATACACATAGAGTTCAAAATTTATTGAAGAAAAAATACAAATCATGGTAGCATGATGTGCCAGGAACTCTAAATAAATTCTAAAATAATAATCTTTACTTGCTTATGAACCAAATAGTATGAATTCATGGATAAAATAAATATTTTTTTCCGACGCGCATTAAAATTCGCCCGCTGTCCTGAAGAAAAATTTTTTTTCACCTACTTTTTTCAAAAAAGTACCATACAATGGTACATATTTATAATCCTGATAAATGTAGCTATCAGAACATTTTTTTTTATTACTTGATCTCCAGTGGTTTAAAAGTAAACGACGTTTATTTAAAAAAATACTTTTTGGTTTTTGTGAATTTTACTCCATATTTCTATTTTTTTGTATGAAAAGGCAAAAAGTTTGTTCTAGAAATGAATTCGCCATCCTTTAATTATCCGAAAATGACACCACACTTGCCCTAATACCCATAGTTTTGAAGATATGGGCCTTAAAGTGAAGCGCGGCAGAAGGAAACTTGCCCCCCCTCCCCCTGCTACCACAGAGGGGGCTCCCGATGTCTACCGACGGAAATCTACTCAGGAGCACCCAAAGAACAACTGGTGCAAAAATGAGCCTTCTATACCAAAGTGGAGGGGTCTCCATACAAATCATTGCACTAAATTCCCTACTAAAAATAACAAACAAAGAGTCGCCCATTGGAGTCGCCCACTGCCCAGCCAGCGGTTGGATCGGTAGGGTGGTGTGTCGTTCTACAGAGCCCACTCAATGTTCGCTCGCGACCCACCACTGGGTCGACCCATAGCTCGGGAAACCCTGATCTAGGGTATGTTTAAAAAAAAGCAAACTAATTGTTGGTAACTTGTAATTTTTAAACAATAGTATTTACAAGTCTTAGAATGGCGATTGGTTATTCCCACTGGTCCTTGATGAAGGCTGCGCCCCTCTCGGCGACGAGCATGATAGCGGCCTGCGGGTTGCCGGTCGGCAACGTGGGGACCGACGACGCGTCTATCACTCGAAGACCTAAAGATGTAGAGAAAATGAGGATGAGGATTTTTAGACAATATGACATTCGCTACTTAAGTGCGATTCGTTTTCACCGGCGTTTCTAACAAATTGTCTCTTTAAAAAGGTATGATGCAAAACTTTAGCATGTTTTCTCATTTTTTAAAAGTAGGTACATAGGACTTATCGCTAAAAGGACGCCATTTTTCTTACTAGCGACAATTTCGGCCAAACGCCTCCATTAGAAATTTTATTGTTCCGAGGCTCACCGAAAAGCCGCGTGGAGTCCAAGCTGTCCCACGTTTACAAAGTCAGCTATCAGTTACGTTAGTAAAGAATCACAGGTCTACAAAAACCCAAACTTCATTGATTCTGTGGGCCAGGGTTGCCAAATGACATGTATACCTATGTTACGGTTAATGTATATATATTTTAATCCTCCCCTACCCTTAAATCAGCCTTAAACCCACTCACCACTAACGTTGTAGACCTTAAGCGTGGGGTCAATAACGAGCCCCATCGCAGCGGTCGCGATCTGATGGTTCTGAGGGTCGGTGTTGACGCGCGCCATGCATTCTATCCAGTCGTCCGACCACTCGGCCAGGCCGGAGCACCGCTCGGTGGTCTTGTTGTCCAGTTTTATGCCGTATTTGTTCTTTAGGGTCTGTAAAAAATGATTTATCAACATAGTGAGTACAAAAAACTTAAACCATGTTATGTATTAACCATTTAATACATTATTGAAAATAATCTATCCAATTCGATAGGTGTACCGTGTACCTACTACTTTTTGACAAATCAAAGTATTAGTATGTACCTAGTACCTACTTAAGTAGATCCTTTTTACTTCATTGCGTGTCAGAAGAAACTATGAGGTGATATTAGTTATCGTTACACTAATAATCGACCAATTAGCTGTTACTACAGTTTAAAAAAAATTAACAAGGCACCAATTAGCGAATCAACAATAGGTAGGTGGGTGATTGCTATAGCACAGATAATATAATACTAGGCTATAGTAATTTAGCCTATCATAGTTATTGGCATACTTATTGGATTGTTAATAAGTAAGAGATAAAAATATCTACTACATTGGACTGCGTATTGCTCAGAAAAAATATTTGTCTCTTTTCCTCTCTTAATAACTTCCATAAGGCTTGTTTCTTTTCATTTTAGGCGAGTTGGCCAATAACTATGTATTGGCTAGAGGCGCGGATCCAGCCCTCAAAAAAGGTTGTGGGCACCATTGANCATGTCTTCTCTAGTACGTAGTACATTATAACTCAATGGTGGGCACAGCCACCAAAAATTAGCAAAGTGAGAGTTGGATTGGAGTACGAACTCACTCACGCACGCTCAATCACGCTCGATTAAAGGCTCAGTCAGCCGTTTTTATCATCAGCCTATCGATCTTAAATATCAATGATCATAATTAAAACAAGCAAATCAGGGTTGTGGGCATGCCCACAATGCCCACAGCGGTGGATCCGCGCCTGATTGGCTATAATTACTATAGCGATCACCCTATGTGTCTTAAAAATTTAAACAAGAACAAAATGTTATACATAGATAGGTACACCCAAAAAGGACTTCTGTGTCATCGACAATTGATGTCAAAATCAACTTACGTCGCTCTCAAAGATCTTCTGCAAGTACCTAACGCCGTCCCGGATCATGACGAGGTCGTCGGGATGCGAGAAGTACCCGGGGTAGAACAGCGGCGGCGTCAGCGGGTCCGTGGAGTTGATGGTCATGCGGCCCACGCTCCGGGGGAGGAGGATCGCTGCGTTTGCACTGAAAGGTATTTTAAACTCATCATCATCAACAGCCCTTCACAGTTCACCGCTGGACTGTGAAGCGGTCAGCGGTGGACTGTGAAGGGCTGTTGCCTCCGTTATTGGAGGGTTTTGCCATAATCCTTACGCTTGGCAGGCGGGTTGGAGATCGCAGTTTAAAAGATTTATGCTTTGCTGCCCGTTCTCTTACTGTTTGATGTGTAGTCCCTAAGTCGCCTCTTACGACACCCGCGGGAAGAGTAGGGGTTGGTGACAAATGTACTACTCTGCCGTCACCAAACGGCTTTAACAATTTACTCATGTGTAC